ACGAGACAGGTTATAACGTCTGGACTCGACGCTCCCAGGGTAGAGCTCCATGAGGGATCGCTGCAAGACGAGTCGTCGACAGACGAGGGAGAAATTGCAATGTCACCTTCGCTGTTTCTAGTGAAGTAGGCTTGGTGCACCACCGAATCGCATTCGAAACTGTGACGCGAGAGAGATTCGAGGAGTTTCTTGCGGACACAATTCAAGAGTGTGATGCAGTTTTCCCAGACGACGAACCCATTTACCTCATATACGACAATGAGAGGCCTCACGTGCGAGCCCAACTCCCTGAAGGTGCCAACCCAATGATCCAGCTGAAGCGCCTCCCTCCTTACTCCCCATTCCTGAACAGCACGGAGATGGCACACTCTGCATTCAAGGCTGCAGTTAAACGCATCCTTGGGTTACCTGAGTGGCAACAACGTGTCGGAGACAGACAGGCTGCCCAGCAAGCAGGAATGAACATGCAGCAGTGGAGGTGCGATCTCCTTCAACAAGCAGCCATCCAGAGCGTTGATGTCATCACCCAAGTGAAGTGCATGCAGTGGTACAACCATACCCAAACATATTTGCCAAGATGTCTGGCACGCCAACAGATTGATGGTTGAGGAAGAAACAACATAAACAATAAAAAACCAGGAAAAACATAAAGAAACACCCCATTCAAACACAATACAAAATTAGGTCTTGGTCAGTTAACCAATAAAGATCCCCAAAAAAGAATGAAGAAGAAAACAAAGAAGAAAAAACCTCATTGGCCCCATGTAAAGTCTACTGGAAGCATAAATAAAGAAAACAAGGTTTGCTTGAATTAAAGTGAAGATACGAAACAGTTGCCTAGTACAGTTTATCTGTTTATTCATATTTCTTTAGTCGTACTTATTTGAATTCTCTTTAAGCGAAATTGATTGCCTCTTTACGAAATTGAAAAAAATTAAATCACTAAAATCTCCAGTCGAACCAGCTTTGCTAAATTGAATGATGATTGTGTGTCACGAAAAAGAATGACGATTTGCTAAATTGAACACAGTGCTAAAGGAATTTGAATGCCTCAAAACGAAATTGAATGGCCGAATTCTGAATTTGAAACGCAGTAACAACTGGAGAGGCAAAATAGCTTCAATTGGAACGCACGAAAATTAAATTGGCTGCTCATTTGCCGAAATTGACCGAGAAAACCTATATTTTAGCAGAACTGAAAGATTCTACCAAGCTTTTGTCATGTACGAGGTTTCACAGTCACTTGTTACACATTTTGTGAGATACACAGTGGCGTAGCCACCGGGGGGGCGTGGGGGGGGGGGCGTGGGGGCGACCGCCCCCGTGAAACCTTGTCACCCCCCCCCAGTCGGCCCCCCCCCTGAGATTTTGAGTTTCTAAAAAAATTATCATTGATCTAAATCTAAATAGTTGCGAATGGTCCACATGATGATCACTGAGAAACCACCCTTCGACCGGCGACCGCGGACCAGTAAGCTGACAACCGGCGTGACGTAGCGCATAATGATAATCTAAAATGCGTATTAACACCCACTGCACTGCTCGCTCACACCACGGAACACGTTTTATAGACAGGTGTCCGTGGGTCACACAGTATCAGTCAGCGATATCATGCAAATCGGCCAAGCACAAACTTTTTCCTCCATTCATATAAGCTCAGATAATAATAATAGACCAATTAAAATTCCTTGAAATCAGTGGCGTAGCCACGGGGGAGGGGGGGGGGGGCGTGGGGGGATGTCTCCCCCAGACCCCCCCCCCCCCCCCCCCCCCCCACTGAGATTTGGAGTTTCTAAAAAAAATTATCATTGATCTACATGACGCCATGGGCGTCAATCCTGGGGGAACAGGGGGACTGGGTTCCCCCCCAGTAGCGTAGCCAGGAATTTTTCAGTGGGGGGCGTCAATCGCTTCTCAAAAGTGGGGGGGGGGAATACCTTGATCATTACTGATGCAAGCGCGAAGCGCAAAGCCCTTACGGCATGGGGTTCGGGGCCCGCTTAAGGGCCCCGGGAAAAAAAATGGATTCTGGATGTTCTGTGTTGTGATTTGAAGCAATTTCTTACGACTTTCCTCCATGCTTTAACTAATATTTTCTCGGCAAAAGATAATTATTTGAACATCGTTTTCGAGGTTGGAGACATTGAATCAGCTTTCGGTATTCTGAGCTATTGGTGTGGGGTTCGGGGCCCACTTAAGGGCCCCGAAAAAAAATGGATTTTCGATGCTCTGTGGTGTGATCTGAGGCAATTTCTTACCACTTTAACCAATAATTATCTTAGCACAAAAGATAATAATTTAAACATAATTTTCGAGGGTTTTTCAGCTAAAGGCATATTGTGAACATTGTTTTCGAGATTGGAGTCATTGAATCAGCTACCAAAATTTTGGATTCTAAATGCTCTGTGGTGCTATCTGAGGCAATTTCTGACCACTTTAACCAATATTTTCTAAGCAAAAGATACATTGTAGTACATAATAGGGCCCATGGCGTCATGTAGATCAATGATAATTTTGTTTTAGAAACTCAAAATCTCAGTGGGGGGGCACCTGGGGGGGGGGGGCGACAAGGTTTCATGGGGGGGCGGTCGCCCCCCCACGACCCCCCGATGGCTACGCCACTGTCCCCCCCCCCCCCCCCCACTTTTTGAAGGGTGGGGGCAAAATATCAAATATCCCCCCCCCCCCCAGATTTTTTAACTTGTGTCTCATTTACAGGGCCCTATTATGTACTACAATGTATCTTTTGCTTAGAAAATATGGTTAAAGTGGTCAGAAATTGCCTCAGATAGAACCACAGAGCATTTAGAATCCAACATTTTTCGGGGCCCTTAAGCGGACCCCGAACCCACGCCTATAGCTCAGAATTCTGGTAGCTGATTCAATAACTCCAACCTCGAAAACAATGTTCAAAAAATTTTCTTATGCCTTTAGCTGAGAAAACCTCGAAAATTATGTTTAAATTATTATCTTTTGTGCTAAGATAATTATTGGTTAAAGTGGTAAGAAATTGCCTCAGATCACACCACAGAGCATCGAAAATCCATGTACACGATAAAAATCCATTACTAGCCAATTGCGGTATCCAATCAGGATACAGGAAGAAAGTTTCCTATCCAGGGTTTACTATTGGAAACGCGGTTGGAAATAAAGTAAGCACTGGGGACGAGGTTGGGTCAGAACGTCCTTACAGTACATAACGCACGCCCTCATGCGTCGAATCCAGACCATCATGTTAAAAACGTACATGTACATGTTATTTTCAAGTGATGCAGCAACCCAGCCTCGACTCCAGGGGCGCGTGCTCGTTCCTTATGTTGCAGGGTGAATTTTTGGCTTTTCCGCATAGTTGCGGAAAAGCCTTTCTTTTTGTTCTGATTTTTTTAGCTGTTCCCAATTTCAATTGGGAACAGCTCTTGTTTTCGTTAAAGTTTTTTTTTTTCCTTTTTTTTTTTTTTTTTTTTTTTTTTTTTTTTTTTTTTTCTTTTTCCACTTTTCCCATAGGTTTTGTACACGTTTTTATTCTACAAGCCACTTTGGCAATTATTTTAAATCTGATCAACTTTAAACTCAGCATAGTTATTAAGCATCATCTGAAGATGTATGCCGAAACTTTTCGTCATGCTGACGTCATCACGTGATTTATTATAGAATTTTGAATATTTAATTTTTCCCATAGACTTTGTACACAGAATTTTTTTTCAAAATGTCGAATTTCAGAGGGAATTTTCGACTCTTTGCCAGTAATTCATTTACACCAATCTTTGTCCAAGCAAAGACCCTAATTCAAACAACATTGTGTAATGATGACGTCATGATGACGTCATCTGGTGTTTATTTATAGGCAATTAAATTGTGACACTTTTAATATTTAAAAATGCATAAGAAATCAACCGTACGCGTCCGTAGCATTCTGCTGCCGGCAAGTGGTAGAGTAGGTTGAGGTCTTTATTTCATTCAGTGTGCGTGAAATCACGTGACTCTTGCTTCCGGTCGAAAAAGGCCAAAACCGGAAGTGGGTTATTTTTGTAAAAGTGGTAATAGATATGAACTTGTTTTTAACGGTGTTAGTCTGTTGGCTGATAGTATTCTTCAAATCATCTACCGATGACGTCATGCAATCTTCGAGCGCCCTCTAGCGACAGGTTGAAAATTTTCAAAAATGTATTTTGAATGGATGTCTGTGGCGAAGTTTGTCGGAATCGCCTAAATATTGGTGTATATGATGACCTTGACCCACTTAAGACGTGTGCGAAGTTTAAGGTGTATGACGTCATCAGACCGGAAGTTATAATGAAAAGACCCTTTTTCCTTAGAAAATTCCTGAAAAATCAACCATGGCAGTTTTTATAATAGTTTTTACTTTAATTGTCTATTTAAGGGTAGGTCTAAAACATTTCAAAGCTTCGAGGCAATAAGCAAACTCGGACATGGCCTGCGGACGCTTAAAGCTTTAGGTTGACAATACCTCTGCTTTAAAACATGCACAGGACGTCCACGATGTACATGTACATGCACGTGTTTCCTCTACTGCGTGCACTGATGACTTCGCGTGCGCCCCGTACGCGTTGGCACTGTGCAAGTGATCTACTGCCCTCTACTGTTGACAATTTTTGTTGTGTACGGCCCATAATGGTGATCTACTGCCCTCTATATAGTGCCCAACAGTATAACTAATACAATGTAGAGACGCTACCGCTGTCGTTGATTACCGCTTTCTACCATGTGTATTACAATTTACAGCAATATTTCTTTTAAATTGAAAAACTACACGCAAAGGCACTGATATACTAGGAACTCCCTCCAATATGTTTTCGTGTATTTGCAAATGTTATTTATCACAGGTGTTTAAACAAGGTTCCTTTTGTTCCCCCACACTTATTCTTTTTTTGCTGAAGATCGCGAAGATTGAGTGACTATAACATAATGAATAAATTATACTTATTTATCTGATTGTTCACAGCTGCATCTCAAAACAAAATTATCCACGTGTACACACATTGTGATTCCAGTTGAAGTATTGGGATTTATTTTTCATAGTAGAGTCCAGAATTACAATCAATTGTCGTGTTTTGCTAAATGATAAATGATTAAATTATGAGATAAGCCATAACAATTGTAGTTACACAATTAGAAAAGCATCTTTAAATCAGCATATTTGTCATGGAAATTACAATCATTTTTATTACAGATAGAAACAAGCCCAGACATAGTTTCAACTTTGACATACTCATATGCATGTACATGTACAATGTATTTGTGTAGGGTGCATGCATTGTGCTGCAGTAAAGCTGAAGTCCTCACGTTTCAATTCATGCATATGTGAAAGTTGCAAATTACATACATAATTAATTGGTAGAGACTACAATAGAAAATTGTACTTGATATGTTCTTGTGTTATTTAAAAACAAATCTTTGTGAAAAATTAAAAAAAAACATTTCAAGTCAATGTTTTCTCTTTAACAAAGTTATTATTTTGTACTTTCTACAAGTTTTGTAAGTCACTGTGTATCAAGCATAAAGTGAAAAGCTGAGTATTCAATACGATTGTAGAAATAAATCCACAAACTATTTACATGACTTCACATTTTAATTTCATTTTCTGCAATGCCAAGACAGAAGGATGACTTCACCAGTGTTTGTAACAATGGTTTATGGCTAAGCATCAACACAAATTAAAATGAGTATATGTGATTCTAACTTGAATAAAATAACCTCCAAGTACTGTATGCTTGATTCTCTTCCAAATCTTGTTGAGAAAGAAAACATTGCTTGTTTGACACTCAAACTGACACATTTCTGCTTACTAATGCAGGACTTGCATGGCTGGCAAGTGCAATCTGTGATCTTATACAACCAAAATTTTGCTTTTGAATAAGCATAATAGGTCTCTCTCAAAAATGGCCATCTCTGTTGGAGAACTGCATCTGCGTATTCTATAAACCCAAGCATGCTTTGCGCATTGTAGAAAATGTTTCAAACACAGCATGCCCACTTGTTGCTCAAAATGGGTGCAATTTACGACATACATGTAACCCATGGTCATGACGCAAAAAATGCCGATGCATATGGCTGGTCTGTAGGAAATGATGTCATTTGAGACAGAGCTATAAGATAGATCCTGGTCAAATCTTTGAAGTATAACTTGGAATTTTCATTCATTTGACACTTGTGACATTTGTTCCTTAACCCCTTAAGGACGGGTTGTAATGGGGACATTCCTCCACACATAGAGCAAGTGGCCCGCATGACTGCACAGCCTTTGTGTGGTAGCGGCACTGCACAAAAGCAGCAGCTGTGGAACTACCCACTAGCTGTGTGCCACGGCATACCACAGCTGGCAACTGCATTCCAATGAGTATAAGCGGCTGCGGCCATGACTGCAATGTTGTTTATTAGATAAAATAAACCAAGTTGGTATTAGCTTGTAATCAGTATTGGAACACTAAAACATCTTCATTACTCTCCAAGCAAACAACAATGTAGAACACAAAGAGCATTGGGCATGGCACTGCTGGTGGATGACTACATGTCATCTACGTCACACTTGATGGCAGGTCATATTGCTATTTGAACACTAGATTTTGTTCATTACTCTTCAAGCAAACACCAAATGTAGAACACAAACTGCATTGGGCATGGCGTTGTTTACTCCTAGCGTTGTTGACGGATGATTGGAGGTCATCCACATCGCACCTGATGGCAGGTCATAAGAGCACATCAATGACTGCAATGGGATTTTACACTGAAAAAAACATGAAAGAGAAGATTGCTATGAAAAACAAATTTTGTGCATTTTATTTGGTCTGGAAGTTGGACAACAGTGTGATTAACCGACCTTACAAACTTTTGTTGGTAAATCAATATTCAGACCAATATGTTGTAGTCCAGTCCATCACAAATCCTTTCACAAGTTCACTGAAAAGTTCTTTGCTAACTGCAGTCTATTCATCACATTGAACCTGCATCGAAGTGATGTAAATTCAAAATTGGGTTTAGCCGTTCACCGACATATTTTTATAAATACATCTAAAAGTGTTTATGAAAATATATTAGTGAGGACAAAAATCCAATTATGTATGGTTACAAATGTGGTCACAAGTCAAGTCAAAAGCCAGGGATGAACAATGATTAGTCACAGGCCACAATGAATTCCTGACAGCCCGCAGATGACAACACCCACCCTCAAGTGTTGGAAGTCTGGCAGGCAGTGTTGCGGTTCACACTCCATCTTGTCCAAATTCACAGGCCACAATGAATTGCTGACAGCCTGCAGATAATAATAATGATAATAAAACCGTTCTTATTAAGCCCATTAAACATGGAGTCCCAATGCACTGTACAAATTAAAAATAGGACAAAATATAGGATTAAAAATAGATGACAACACCCACCCTCAAGTGTTGGAGGTCTGGCAGGCAGTGTTGCGGTTCACACTCCATCTTGTCCAAAGTCACAGGCCACAATGAATTGCTGACAGCCCGCAGATGACAACACCCGCCCTCAAGTGTTGGACGCCTGGCAGGGAGTGTTGCGGTTCACACTCCATCTTGTCCAAAGTCACAGGCCACAATGAATTGCTGACAGCCTGCAGATGACAACACCCGCCCTCAAGTGTTGGACGCCTGGCAGGCAGTGTTGTGGTTCACACTCCATCTTGTGCAAAGTCACAGGCCACAATGAATTGCTGACAGCCTGCAGATGACAATTCATAAGGACTTGTATGGTTACACATAGACCATTTACACTGTACATACATCAAGTACATATTCTATAAAATAATACATTTAATGGTTACTATTACGTCATGACATTAAATTCACATAATAACAGCAATGTTTTTTTTATAGCACTACAGGCATTCAATTGGTCAGTTACATCAGCGCATTTCTTGATCGATGATACAAATAAAATGTATTGTATGTGTAGATGTTTTATAACATGTTTCAGTATCAGATCATCACATAATGTTGAAAATGTTGTCACTCACCTTGATAGTGTGGGTATCAACAGGCTGACATTATTAATCATGTTCTGTGTACATGTATCAGAGAAACAACTACATGTATTTGAATGTATGCATGGCAATCTGTGCTAGAATTACCTACTTTATTAAAACTATTATAAAGCATTCGTTATTATGTACATTATGTCTACTAATGCTTTACTGTTGTTCATGGGCCCCATATTGATCACTTACAAGTACCGCAATAATGTAATTTTACTTATAATTTTTATTTACTTTATTGGTCAATAACTTCACTGTATCTGGTGCATTCTTGTGTCATTTATCATACTTGTTTCTGTGTGTCATTCTTGTCTTTATTTATTATTTACAGCTGTCATCAACCTCCATAATTCACTTATTATTGTACTCTCTTTTAAGTAAAAGTTCATACTTCATTTTTCAAAATTCAACTTTAGAAGTTTATTTTTTGTAATTTATATCTTAAACCCCATCTCATTTTTTTAGTTGTAAGAATTCATGTATTAATGTCATTTTGGCCTTACACTACATACAGGTCTCTCTTTGCAGGTATGTACCTGTAGTGTCATTTTAAAATCAATGACTACACTTCCAAATGCTCAAATAACTACATTGTAGCACACCAACAAATATAGTTTCAATGCAATACACATTCACAAAAAGAAATTCACAATTTAAGTATCACTGCTTCATGGTAGCTGTAATATGTTGGGCTCACATAAGTTTCAATGACGTCTATGTTCCTGACATAAACATGATCAAGTAAAGTGCCATTCTCAGTAGTAGCTTCAGTAACACATTGCTTATATCCATGATCAAGCATCACTTTCTGAACAGAAGACTGTTTCATGATATCTTCATTGAAATCACCCATGACAATGCACTTGTTTGACACCTTATGTAGCTCATTCAGTAACATTTGAACAATTGGTAGAAATTCATTTAGAACATATGAAGCTGGTCGATAAATGATCACAATGGCTACTGACACTTTAGAAATTATCTGAAATGCAATATACTCTAGGTTGTGGACTGGTAAGTTTAGCCTACTAAACACTATGTCTTTCTTGCCACATACAGCTACACCTCCATGGCACTGTTCTTTCAACATATGTGTAACACGACTAGTGTTATCATACGACATACATCTTGGCTGATGATACCATTTGTAATCACTCATATCCATCTCACAATCGAAGTCTCCATCACTCCATGTTTCTGTCAGACATATCAAATCACATGACAACATTTCCTTGTTTCTCTTCAAATCGACAAAATGTGCTTGAAGACCTTGAATGTTATGCATTGCAATGGTTGTACAATAGGTTCCACCGGACCTTGCAAGTTCAATTTCATCAACACTATCATTGCCTTGTTCATTATCAATATATAATGGCATTTCACTTATTGCCTCAGCCACTTTTTCATTGCAGTAAATAAATTTTTCATCAAATGCTTCGATTATTAGGCCATTTAATGAGACCACTCTGCTCAAACTAACATAAGCTTGTCCTGCTGAAAAAGTACGATCTAAACATACAACAGCCTTTTCTGTAGTCATTCCTTGAACCTTGTGAGATGTACATGCCCAAGCTAACTTAAGAGGGAACTGGTGTCTCACAAAGACCTGAGTCACATTGTCTTCTACCATTTCAATACAAACTACATCTGTAAAATTACAAGAGGACTGCTTCTTCAATTTTGCTCCAACCTTCTCATTATCAAACTTAACTTTCACAATCTTTGCTGAGTGTTCATTTGGTAACATCACTATTTCAGAGACAGTTCCAAACACTCCATTAACAAGTCCATCAGATACATCAAGATTCCTTGTAAGCATGACTCTAGCACCTACACCCAGCCACAAGCAGTCAGATAAATTTGTACGTGACGATTTCTTTACTGATTTCACTGCAGGTATCATTTTCCCACTTTTTGCATCTTTCTGGAAATCTTTAGCAAGAACACATATACATTCTGAACACTTCACAAAAAGAGTCTGTCTATTATACTCATCCACCTGTTTATTGCAAGGATAAATATGCAGAGCATCGGTCCAATCTTCTCCAGTTTCACGTGATTTTAGCAAAGCAACATCTTCACTTTCTAACTGCTCTTTCTTCTTTCTTACACGCAACCTGTTTAAAAGTTTGGCAAACTGCACATCTTCCTTTTGCCTCATAATCTCAGTCAGTTCCACTTTGACAAAGTTTTCATTCCACAAATCACCTGTTACATCAGTCTGGTACAAAGATTTTCCTTTCACAGGGGGCAACTGATAAAAATCACCGACAGCAAGTATGCTCACATTCCCAAAAGGATTATGATTACGAGATTGTTTGACCTGTCGAAGACGACCATGAATGTAGTGCAACATTTTTTGATCAACCATTGAAATTTCATCAATAATTACAATTTGTAGTTGCCTTAATTTATGCCTAAGTGTACTGATCTTTTCTTCACTCAGTGGTTGATACGGCAATCTCACATTTGTTGAAATTGACAAAGCACTATGGATGGTAGCACCATGGATATTATATGCAGCAACACCTGTAGGCGCCATAAGCAGAACTGATATGTCGTCCGGACTCTCCATCATTCTTCCAAATAGTCTTGTTGCTTCATAGTAAATACATTTAATCAAATGGCTCTTTCCTGTACCTGCTCCACCTGTCACAAATACATAAAATGCTTCTGGATTTTTACCACTGATTTTATCCAAACACCACTGTCTCACTTTATAGAATACTTGTCTTTGTTTGTCATTCAGACACCTTAACATATTCATCGCTTCTTGTTTGGATACTTTCAGCGGATGTGGTTCAATTGTACTTTTTATATCATTATCTTGATTAGATTTCAAATCAGGAATATCACACTCATTCTCACTATCTTCTTCTTGTGGTTGTTTCTGTGCTTTGCATTCAAGTCTTTCCTGTTCACTTTCTGGAGCTATTAATGCCCAAGCATCTTCTTGTGGACCAAACTTTTCTAACATTTCTTCAGCTTCATCCATGGGTTCAGCATTAGCCTCATACAATGACCGGTTATTTTCAACAATATTCATTACAGATTTCAGCACACCATTCAACTTAACACTACCATTTCTATAGAATTCCTCATATGCTTCAAACTGCTGTGGTTTAAGCTGAGCATCAATACGATAAGGTAGATATAATTGCAGTATGCTTTGATAGTACTTCTCTGGATATTTTGCTACTGAAAATCTTGGGAATCGAATAACTGCTGGATCTGTCCTACTACGTTTCTGTATGTGACCTAGACCATTTTTCAATTCATGTATTGGAGAACGACTTGTTTTGGCCATGTTACTGTATATCACTCTATAGTCTGAGCAAAATGTCGCTAAGCACATGGCTTCAAATTGATCAGTTTCTGGTCTTGCTAAATACCTATCAACTCTACTGGTCATCCAGATACTATCATCATCTTCATCACATTTGTTTTGAATTACACTTAGAGGCAAGCTCATTCTGATTGGATTTTCTCCAACAGGTACAAATTCTACTTTCCTTGATCCTTCTTTCAATCTGAGATTACAGACACGATAAACTGCTTCTTGTGCTGATACTTCACGATTGTGTAAATATACACTGCCAATTTCCCTCATACTCTGTCTCGCATCCAAATTACCATTCTGTACCTCTGCCTGAGCATGTGACAACAATATACCCATTTCACGTTCAGCCTTAGACATGTACGATACCACATAAGCAACACAAGCATAAGCATCGCAAATGTACTGAATGTCCATATTTGCACTCCAACAACGTATCAAATCAGGATTGTACAAATTAACCCAAACATCTTGTGGCTGTCTCTTATGAACAATACTGGCCTTCCTGCTCAAGACATTGTTAGCTTTCTCAAAATCACCTTGTGTAATATTTATGCTTCCAAATAGTTCAGTAGTTGTCATATGTTCATTCTCAGCTTTCTGTATTGCAGTCCAAACTGATTGCAGCAACTCCTTGGCCTTATTTCTTTCATTTATGTCATCTTCTTCACTTTCTTTCTCATCACCCATTGGCATATCAGGATCTGTTATGAATGTTCGTTCAGATGGAGGTCTGGGGAAATTAAACCTGCACTCAGTACCTTTCTTCTTACATGACTTGGAATGTTTTTTGCTGTGTAACTGCACATGACTGATGATTTCATTCAACTGTTCATCTTGCTCTTCTGATGGTAATTTGCAACTGATGTATTTGTCAACAAAATTAACAACATCCTTGTTACTATCATGTCCCAATTTTGGTGCATCTTCAATCCAAAAGAGACAATGTGTATGTGGTGACCCTCTCTGTTGGAATTCCACTCTGTAAAAATAGTCCTTGACTTTTCCTATCGGTTCTGCTGAAGACATAATTACATCTTTCAAAAATGTATGAAATCGTTGATCAAACATTCTAGCAGCAGTCACAGGATTGCTTCTCAATATCGTACATTTCTCATTCCAGTCCAAATCTTTCACATCTCTAGAATCACCTTGCTGTCTCAGAATTGTATTAATTACTTCAGGCCATCGCATATCTGCTGCAGAAAACGAACAAAACCATGTTGGTATTCCAAGTTGTCTGATCATAGCCAAAACATCCTTCTGTGCTGCTTGCCAATATGGGGGTGTACCACGAATAGGCTTGAGAAATTTATATCCACTGTCTGATTTCAAAATATCTTGTAGTTGGTCCCTGTCATTGATCATGGAAGCATTAACACTCTCACCACTGTGCTTTTTATCACAACTCTTACGCAATGCAATAGAAACACTAGACATAACCTTCTGAATCTCGGATAAGTATTGAGCATAAAAGATGTATTGTGTAGTCTTTGCAAATCTATTATCTATATTCATTAGTCGATTGTGCAAGTATCTACACAGAGTTAACTTCACATTACGATCATCATCAAATGTAGGCTGACCTATCGGAAATAATGCTGGAAAGCATTTTGCTTCATTACCCTTTTCCATTAATATTCTGATTGGACTATTGCCTTCACAAGGTGCAACACATATGACTTCATCAAAGTACTGATCCAGTATTTCCTGGCCTATATTACTCGGCTGTAGACAACTGTCTAATGCAACACCCCGCAAACGGTCATCATCTGTTTCCTCGTCATCATTTTCTTCATCTTTACTGTCACTTTCATTATTAACCTCTTCTTTTGCATCATCCACATACTGCTCCATTTCATCAACATCTTCACACAATGGATTCTCCCATTCAGTATTTATTTCAATGTCACTGTACCATTTATTATTGTGCTTTAGGTACTTCAAGGCACTCTCAACATACTCCTTATTCATAAATTGATACTGATAATATCCTTTATAAGTCAATTTTCTCTTCAATTTGACTCGGATCAACTGATTGTCATTTTTGGGCCTCGGTAATACATTTACTGTGTCTGTTACATTTGATGGTACACAAACAACTGGACCTCGTACACCATGCTGGCCACCTTTCGGTAATGCAATCATTTTCATGAATGGTACATTTATTGCGATTAGATGTTCTTCTAGTGTATTCAAACGAGCCAATTCATCAGGGATATCAATCAGGTTTAAATTGTTTACATTTGCTTCTGCAGGTACTTTGTTCACAAGTAGTTTTCTATGACATGTGTAGCATATCCACAAATGCGATCTACTTGATTCTCCAACAATACATTTTAACTCACAATTTTCACTACACACGTGCAGATATTCATCACTAATATACACCTGGTCTTCATATTTATATTTATTGCATTTCAAAACTTGTTTTCGAAAAAGAAGTTTATGACAGCAGGCACAGACATATTCCGGTCCTTTAGATATGTCTTCTCTAAATTTTTTTGTCACGATACACATTTTACGTCTCTTTTCTTTTTCCATAAGGGCACGTCTGTGATTGTTGATTATCATGTTTCTACGGTATTGATGATTTGTCTTATATTTTTCTTTCCCATACTTGATCAAATTCATTCTGTATGAGACAACACAGCGATATTTCTTTTTGATACTTGCAATCAGTTTCTTTCTATATGAAGCACTATCATGGTATGTACATTTCATTCTGTTAATTTTCTCTTGTCTGTACACATCATCATTTCTATACTTTCTATTTCCAGTTTCAATTAGTTTTCTTCGATATTGAGAGTTTTGACGATACTTTGCTTTACCACTATTGATTAGCCATTCTTTGTATACACAATTATCACGGTATTTTGTTTTTCCAGAATTAATTAGCCGTTCTCTGTACGCAGAATTATCACGATACTTTGTTTTTCCAGACTTAACTAGCCCTTCTCTGTATCCACAATTATCTTGATACTTTGCTTTTCCAGAATTAATTAGCTGTTCTCTGTATGCACAATTATCACGATATTTGGTTTTTCCAAAATTAATTAGCCCTTCTCTGTATCCACAATTATCTTGATACTTTGCTTTTCCAGAATTAATTAGCTGTTCTCTGTATGCACAATTATCACGATATTTTCTTTTTCCAGAATTAATTAGCCCTTCTCTGTATCCACAATTATCTTGATACTTTGCTTTTCCAGAATTAATTAGCTGTTCTCTGTATGCACAATTATCACGATATTTTCTTTTTCCAGAATTAATTAGCCCTTCTCTGTATCCACAATTATCATGATATTTTGTTTTTCCAGAATTAATTACCTTTTCTCTATATGCAGCATTATATTGATACTTTGATTTCTGACTCTTTATTAAAGTCTGCCTATAGTGAGGATCATTATGGTACTTAAATTTACCATCATTTATTTTGGTCCCTTTATATGAAGCATTTGTCTCATACTTTCTCTTTTCAGCCTTTAGTCGCTGTGTTTTATACTCAGTGTCATCACGATACTTTATGTTCAATACTTTCTTCTTCTTGTCAGCTTTTTCTTTGTATGTCATTTGATCATAGATTCTTTTTCTTTGCTTAGAATCATCTTTACAAAACTTCTTTTCATCTTTTAATTTGTCCTTAGGATTTCCTGCATTTCCTGATCTCCATTTTGTCCCATCATGAGAACTACATTTGCTAATCTTCATTCCTTTGTCATCCTCCTTTTTATCATTTTTTTTCTGTTTGTATCTCTCCCTAGCCTTTTCTCTTGCAATTTTTCGCTTCAATTGCACATTAACACGTTTCACCCTTTTACGCTTTGTATCTTTATTCTGTCGGTCACTCTTGTCAATCTTGTCAGACGTTATATTTGTTTTCGCTCTTTCATCATCATTTGATACTTTATTGGAGATTTCTTGTAAATTTCCCTTTGGTTGACCATTCACATCAGAAACAGATTTTCTTGTAGATTGACAAACTGACAAAACAACATCGTAATGAACTCTTTGCTGATGATACAAGTAAATTCCTTGGTCTGACTTCAAAGTCTCTCTTTCTAAGATACTCCGAGAAAAGACGTACCACTTATTTAATTCATCATATGTATATATATCTGTACATAGCATATCTGCCATTGCAATGATCTCAACTTCTGTAGCCCATATTCCAGAAACAAACATTCTCTGCCTGGTGACATATTCTTCCACATTCCTGAACCCTTCATGCAGAACACCATTAAATTTATCTCCATTTTGCAACAAGTGATTCACAGTAGCCATCCGTAACTTCAAATGATTATCTTCAGTTCCTGATACACAAAATGAAACTGCCCTGAAAAAACAGTTGCCATCACCTTTGATTTTCTTTACGCAATTAGGTGGTCCCATCACCTCACAATCATCTGAAACTCCATTGCCTTTGCAGAGTACATTTATCAAGCCATGTATCTTACATAGTTCCTTCTTCTTTGCATGTGTCAGTGGGGCAAAATGAAAATTGTGCAATTGAATCACTTCTTTGATTTCAACATCACTAGTCTCATCACATTCATTACTGCCATTTATCATGTCTAAACTGTCTGTGACATCTCTTGAACAACTAATTGACAAACCACTACAAGGATCAAGCTTTGCTTCAGAACCAATTCCTCCAACCTCTTTTGCTGTACTATGACCAGTCTTGTGCACAGCATTCTCCAGTCTACTACCACTGCAAGATGTACTATCCATGTAATGCTTTGGCTCATCATCAAACCACACAGATACACCTGTAATTTCAAACTGCTCATTATTAGACAAACACATAGATCTTGCCAAATCAGTACAATACCTGTGGACATCTTGCCAATCAGAAACATGTTTCAGCAAACTTCGTCCTTCACTAGCCATACAGCCTTGCTGATTTCTAGAGTGAGAATCAAAAATATAATACATCCCATCTTGAGCAATCACAACAAACGTATTTTCATGGAAACATATGAAACATGCATAGTATTGCTGAAGTGTCTGTTCTAGTGCACGATTCAATGGCATCATATTAAATTCAGGCAAATTGCACTGATCTCCAAATGCACCACATACAGGATCATGAAACTCCATATTGAAATGATGATTCAGCAGGTCTAGCTCATTTGGCAATTCATTTACCAGCAAATAATCATGAGTAACTGTAGAACTTCGAGACAGGTGGCTATACAATTCATTTCCAGTATTCAGTGTAGTATCCATATCTTGACAAGACCAGTCTTTTAGTTGTTTTATTTTACTTATCAAAACAGCGCACAGAGAATTTGAAACACATTGTTTACCAGAGTTTCCAGCAAATCTATGATCTCCTTGATGAAAGGTGCCCTGTACAATCATTTTGTCAAATTTCCCACTATTCTGAACTGTGCATTTATTCAAACTATTCTTAATTTCGTGTTTTTTCTCTTCAACTACATCCATCATTTTCATTTCTTTACATTTCACTTCACAGCTTGTAGTAGTAGGTGACATTTGTCGTTTTCTACTTCTCATTTCATATCTTCTGCTTCGTTTTGTTTGTAATGCCTCTTTGTCATCACCTTGCATATCTGCAGCTTCAGATTTTTCTATATTATCATATTTAACACCATCACCAACACCATCACTGACATGTTTGCGTGCAATACAATTTCCACTTTCCTTTTCAACTGTTTTCACCAATTCAGTTTTACTTCCATCTACATTCTGTGAATTTGAAGACTGGCCTTTCTTCTTTCTTAATGAATAACCACCTGTCTGCTGACATATCAGTTGTTTTCCTTTAGTCGTCAATCGTACAGTACATGTACTTTTTTCAATGCCTACTGAACTTGTCAATCTTCCCTGTCTACTTACATCATTTGTCTCATCATCCCAGTTGCTATCTTGTGCACATGTTCCAATACACGTCTGCTGAACAACATCATCTATAGTGCATGTCTCCTCAACAGTCATCTCAAATACATTGTCATCTGTTGGAATACCAAGATCATACAAAAGAGATTGAGAGTAAGTACTCTTACCACATTTACGACACATCCATACCACTGCTCTGTTTGCCAACAATTCCTCCATCTTCAAGAAATTCATACATTTGACATGGTACCAAATGTTACAACCATCACATTGCACTTTCCTTTCAAACACATCGATAGTCTGATCACACAACCAGCACTCTTCATTGGACTGATTTCCTTTGACGGTTTGATCATGTCTGTGTCGATCACACGTCTGACTGTTTTTGCTTTTTAGTACTGATTTCCCAACTTTCTTGTCCAGAATTGTCTGCCTCCTTTCTGGTGTTTTCATTTCAGAAGCACATGTATGCTTCACATCTTCCTTCACAACTTTTGCAAAATTTCCATTACTCCTCTGCCTTTTCTTATTTTTGTTTTCTGTACTGACATCTTTCATCTTCTTCAAAACAAATGAAAGACTTCGCTTAGTCTCACAGAACGCATTTTTTTGAACCTTTTCATGGACTGCTTTTTCTTCCTTGCTCATCCACAATTCAATCCTCATTCCATTTCTTCTTCTATTATAGGATTCCTTGCAAATATCTCTTCTTCTTCTCTTTCTACTAACTTTGATATGTTTCTTTCTTGATCTATTCTCATGCTGATCTTGCATACACCTGCCATTACTATTTCTGGTGCAGTGCTTTATCTTCAAGTAACCATGCAACCTCCTCATACCTCTCTGATCATGAACTCTTTTCTTGGTCAACTTCAACAGTCTTTTTCTCCTCATTTCTTTTACCTTCAGTCTCAAGTCGCCACTTGCATTCTTGACCTTTTTCAACTTTCTTGCCATTATCTTTGTACCCTTTTCTTTCATGTCTTTGTCAAGATTATCTTCCTCATGCTTCATACCACCATTTTGGGTCTTCTCTTCATCAATAGCATCACCTTTTGCCTCTATATCATCGCACTTCTCTTTAACCTTATTCCATTTAACATAACCTTCTGCACTCATTTCAACTGTGATATTCTCTACTGCATATTGCACAATACACTCATTCTTCTGCACTGACATAATCACTGCTTCATCACTTTGCTCAGCTGTCTGCTCATATCTTTGTTCAGTTTCTTTGCTCATGATCATTGCTTGCTCAACTTCATTCAGTATGTCATCATAAATTTCATTGTCTTCATTATGTTCATTCATTCTGCCAGGATTAGCGGCCTGGTGAGCCCCGCATTCGTTCATCATACATTTACTATATGTCTTATAATTGTTATCATAATGTTCATTCATTCTGCCAGGATTAGCGGCCTGGTGAGCCCCGCATTCATTCATTCTGCCAGGATTAGCGGCCTGGTGAGCCCCGCATTCATTCATTCTGCCAGGATTAGCGGCCTGGTGAGCCCCGCATTCATTCATTCTGCCAGGATTAGCGGCCTGGTGAGCCCCGCATTCATTCATTCTGCCAGGATTAGCGGCCTGGTGAGCCCCGCATTCATTCATTCTGCCAGGATTAGCGGCCTGGTGAGCCCCGCATTCATTCATTCTGCCAGGATTAGCGGCCTGGTGAGCCCCGCATTCATTCATTCTGCCAGGATTAGCGGCCTGGTGAGCCCCGCATTCATTCATTCTGCCAGGATTAGCGGCCTGGTGAGCCCCGCATTCCGTAATTCTGCCAGGATTAGCGGCCTGGTGAGCCCCGCATACAGAGGATAATGAAGTGAGTGATGATGAATTAACAAAACACACGGACGGGATGGAATGAAATGATTGGATGGATGATTGGGAAATGAAATGAGACACACCACGGACAGACAAGGGAAATGGAGAACTCCTCCCCTTCTTCAGGCCTCGCACACACCTCAACTCCTTCTTCACTTTCATGATGGCTCTTTGGTAGTTTTCTGTAGAAAAAAAGTTGAAACAATCATAAATAACAAACACTTACAAAAATATGGGGCTTGGAGTTGGCTCATTTTGTTTTTCTAAATTCCTGGTTGCATGCCTGTTTATAGATGTAGTAAGCTTAAACGGAATGTACATTGTACATCATTGGCATATGCAAGAAAACCAAGAAAAATACAAATGTTCAAGTACTCTGGTTCCCCCGTTTCTCGTCCCCACTCGCTTCCTTTTTAGAAGCCTGGATTTTTTTTATTATTTTCTATTTTTCAAAAGTGCAGTTAAAAACACCAAAAAAGTCCACAAATTCATCGGAAAATAAAAACTTGTGAAATATGCGAGTCAAAGTTTTTAGTATAGACTCTGTTGGTCACTTTGTACACTGTAAATATGTTCAGTTCTCTTGTCCAACTTGTCTTTCATTTTAAAAGTGTCTTTGGACAGTGGAAACACCAACAGTTGCAGCAAATTTTCAAATGGCAGCCATCTTGAAAAAAATTAAAAATAAAAATAAAAAGCCCCTCTTTCTCCTTTTTTTTCAAAAATCCAGTTGAGAAAAATATTTTTTTTATTCGGACTAACGTATTTCATTAAAAAATGGTAGTTTTGTTTCCGATGTTTACAAATGTTGTACTTGTATATTCCCTTTAATGTTCCCGACCAGATTTTAATGTGTCACTTTCAATGTGATTTTCAACACGTGTAAACAAAATGTATATCAGCTATTTCTAACCACGCTAACAAATGTCCAACATGTCAAATCTGCCGCATACTACGTGCACTTAGTGATTTTAATCATTACTTAACACATAACTAGCTGGAGTTACCCAGCCCCGAGTTTTATCATTGGGTTGCCTAATAGACAACCCAATGATAAAACTCAGGGCTGGGTAACTCCAGCTAACACATAACGATGTTGCACTGTGACACCAGTTTTTCTTTCACGTAATAATAATATTCTCAATGAATGACACTCATTGCAAAAATGATAAGACATGAATCTGGCACTGAGTTAGAAACATTTCCACTTTTGTTAAGAAATCAAAACTACATTTTCTTAACTCTCCATAAACTCTCTACACAACCACTGACATGCTGAAGTGTCAGGATGCAACATTCTTTCCCACATATAACACATGCATCAAAATCCATATATTTGCGACTTCATATACATCAGGTCATGGAGCTAGAATAAACTCCATCATTAGAACACTGTAACCCTAAATGCAGCCCTCAACAAGTATTATGCACCAAATGATATGTACACTGACTAAATACAAATACGAACAACACAAACATACATGACTTAACAACCAACTGACCAATCAACGTGCAACATGAACTAGGTCTACATGACCAAAGTGAGTAGCTGATAAGTGACAAAAAACTTTTATACGTCTCAAAGAAAACCTCAGAGCCTTCTTTATCGACATACTAGCAATATCTAATAGTTTACTGCTTCATTTATACTACAAAATAATAAGAAAATCCCACGAAAGCAAATCCTGTTCATTCATATATTTACACAAACAAACACGCACTCCGTACGCGTACCTGCAAATAAAAACAATGCGTGCACATGCACATGCATCTTGTTCCTGTTGTGCCCATTCTTGAAAATCACGCATTCTCGAGAATGGGCATGCACATTCTCGAGAATGGGCGCGCATTCTTAAGAATGAGCGCCCATTCTTAAGAACGAGCACGCGTTCTTAAGAATGAGCGCTCATTCTTAAGATTGGGTGGGAATATCACGTGCACAATTTATGAATTTTGCCCAATCTTAACAAACATTGCACGACATAATTATGTTAAATGAATTGTATAGCGGTTAAAAGGGAAACAATTCATATAAAGAGGAAAGAAAATGTGCTATGCTTCTGTACTCGTATAACTACGATAATTTGAATCAAATTAAACCTGTTATTATTGCTTTTTTCTGCCCACTATGGGAAGTTTTGTAATAACGGAGGACTGGGAACTAGTCTGGGAAGTGCTTTGTTTAGGCTAGACAAGTTACAAGTCCCTGCATGTATCATATGCGTGCCACGAAAAAAAAACGATGTCCAGAAGCTGCCAAAATTGCTCTTTTGACTAGATAGAATCCAGCTCTGCGACGTTATGGTGGGATGTGAACAATAAATTGGTGGCAATTTAAATGGGAAATAGCATTAGCACTATGGGATGTCGCAGTATTCATTCTCATTCTTCACATTCTTCATTCTTACGTCCCCCCCCCCACCGCTTTTATTATCCCAAAAATCAGAATTCTTTGCACTAGTATTATTATGTCTCTTATATTTTCCCGGTCCCCCCCCATATTAATACGCCTTTACTTATCATATCCACTCTACTTTTCAGCGCCTTGCGTTGCAACAGTATAATTATTGAGAATCAGTGAACGAGGATTCAGCTAGACTTGCCAAGCGCAGCCGGTGCTCGGCATCAACAAGACCGTTATCTTGTCGCGCATTCTCGAGAATGTGCGCTCAATCTGGAAGAGTTATTTTTTGCCAAGATTGAGCAAGGATCCAGTTGCACATTCTCAAGAATGTGCATGCCCATTCTCGAGAATGCGTGATTTTCAAGAATGGGCACAACATTCCCAAACCTTCACATTGTTAAAACGAATCACATTCCATCGCACTATTGGAACCATACTATTATTTTGTCAACTGCTTCGAGAGGTCAATGCACTTGTTGAAATAGAGGGCGCACTGTACAAACACCACCATCATAAATTTATATTAAAAAAAACAACCATCGATCTCGTTTTTTCGATGATTTTATCATTGATCTCCCATATACCAGACAGTGTATATGGACATCAATTGGATGTATTGTTATGTTGCCAGTAGAAAAAAAGAACACAATAATTACAAATAGCGCCCTCAATCGCAATCGGCCTCTGTTTTCTGTGTTTCGGTACGACTACTAGACTGTTCCCCGCACCATTGCATTAAGTCCAAACTACAATGCGGTTAGGGAACCAGACTAGTGGTGATATACGTACTCCAAGCGTTTTGTCTAGTCTAGATCTCTCACTGCACTCTGGACATCAGCAGTACAGCAATCCACAACATCATAAAAGGTAAATATCAACACCAGACATTGGGACATTTGCTAAAAAGGCGATAACTTGGCTCCAAATCTTACCTAGCCCCACTAGTGTGGCCGCGGTATGCTGCGCTGAACCTCTGCGGAGCATACCGCGGCCTAGCCTAGCCCGACTGCGTCTGGCCGTACAGTACTATCGCAAGCTCTGTAGTACGGCCAGACGCCCGATGCTTCCAAAAAGACTGAATTTTTTTGGCCGCCGATGTAGCGATTTTGCTACATCTTTCGATCGCGATTATCTTTTCATCCAGGACACAAATTTCCAAAGTTAAGGTTCGTAGTCGTAGAGCAACTCATACCTTTTCGAAAAAAACGTTCTTTGGTCTCAATATTTTCATCCATCTGGCCACAAGACGAATTTCAGTCATCAGATTCCACAAATATCGTCCCCCATGCGATCCCCCATGCGATTTCAAAATGGCGGCCGCGCTGTAATGTATGCATTATGCGAGCGCGCTTGGGCAAGATAATGAATATGCATTATTTAGTTCATGACCTCGTGTTTGTATGGCCAGCCGCGCTGAGTGTCCGACATACGTCATAAACTATGATGCATATTCATTATCTTACCCAAGCGCGCTCGCCTAATGCCTACATTACAGCGCGGCCGCCATTTTGAAATCGCATGGGGGATCGCATGGGGGACGATATTTGTGGAATCTGATGACTGAAATTCGTCTTGTGGCCAGATGGATGAAAATATTGAGACCAAAGAACGTTTTTTTCGAAAAGGTATGAGTTGCTCTACGACTACGAACCTTAACTTTGGAAATTTGTGTCCTGGATGAAAAGATAATCGCGATCGAAAGATGTAGCAAAATCGCTACATCGGCGGCCAAAAAATTCAGTCTTTTTGGAAGCATCGGGCGTCTGGCCGTACTACAGAGCTTGCGATAGTACTGTACGGCCAGACGCAGTCGGGCTAGGCCTAGCCCTGGTGGACTCCCTTTCCTCCCTACGTTACGGAGGGAGTCCTGACTACACATGTGCTCACAACCGAACGAAAACATTTCTTACCAATAATTTCAATATTTTTACCTTGTTGGAGAAGCTAATTTTACGTCGTAGTATTTTATGTGTCCTTATCTGTTAGTACGCTAGGTTCAGGAATTCCATATGCGATGCTGACTGACGTCAATCAGGAAAATAAACTCAAAAGCATCGTTAAACTTGTACGTGTTTAGTCTCTTTTCATCAGTTTCTCACCGCCGAGTCTATTCTAGTCGTACATCATACCATGAACGTCTGTGCAGCGTGTAGTCTGGTTCCCTAGACCGGACAATTATTCTCGACGCTCATATCACATCAGGTCCGAGGGACAGACTATGCCGCATGAATATGCAGTGCGCACGCGCGATTTGCTTAGTAACCACCCTCATACGCACGCGCACTTACTTGAAGGCGCGGTCGCTAATCCAATGACCGAGCGTGTTTACGCGCCAGTTACCAGAAACACGTTTCGGCTTTGGTCATTGGTTGAGCGTTTTCGTGACATCGGTTGGCTGGAGTGACGTCACGGTTCCAACCAAAACTAAACAAATGAGGGCGCTAGCGTGCGTGCGCGCTTTCGGATCGTACGCACGTACATTTGTACATGTACATTGTACATGATGCATGACGTACGACTCTGGGAATAAACTGATGAAAAGAGACTACAAACACGTACAAGTTTAACGTTGCTTTTGAGTTTATTTTCCTGATTAACGTCAGTCAGCATCGCATATGGAATTCCTGAACCCAGTGGCCAATAGATAAGGATACATAGAGTTTGTAGGCGTGAAATAAGCTTCTATAACGAGGTAAAACATAACAAAACTCTGGTAAAAATGTTGGGATGGTTTCATGTAGAAAAGTCTTGTCCTGGACGTTAGTCGTATTGCAATGAAGACTTCGTCCAACCTGGGCTAACCGCGGCCTAGCCCTATAATAAACATGATATTGACCTATTTACTGGACTGCCTCCGTAAACATACTACTACATAGGCCACACTAGCCCCATAAATGTGGCCTATTTACTGGACTGCCTCCGTAAACATAGGCCACACGTCCACATGTACAAAAATCGTGTCGACTTTGCCAAATTTTGATTTTCACATTTAGGCTTAGTTTGTAGGGTTTTTTTGCTTTAGAAGCATACTCACCCTCTTTATACTCCTAGAACTATGAGGCTCCGCATGAGCGGAGCCTCATAGATGTAGAAGCCCGCAAAATTGTCTGCAGCACAAAACACTAACCTGACTAATAAAGTACAAAAACGTCCATCAAAATGCAGACATTTCGCACAGAACCGCTGCACAGTTTGCCCCTATACTCCGTACTTTACCTTTTGACATACTCACGTATCTTGGGCACAACTAACATAGGTGGATTCTGTCGGGTTTTAGGCCAAAATGTTGAAAAATATGCCCTTTCCGCACTGAGCCAACCGAACACTTGAAACGTGCACGCATGTGATCGAGCGATGATTTTCGGTTCGCTCGGAGCGCGCCGGGGGGGGGGGGGGGGGGGGGGGGGTACAGTACATGCACTTGTACGCATGCACATACTATCATTTCGCCTGTACCGTACCCCCCGCGGCGCGCTCCGAGCGAACCGAAAATCAGCGCTCGATCATATGCGTGCACGTTTCAAGTGTTCGGTTGGCTCAGTGCGGAAAGGGCATATTTTTCATCATTTTGGCCTAAAAACCGACAGAATCCACCTATGTTAGTTGTGCCCAAGATACGTGAGTATGTCAAGAGGTAAAGTACGGAGTATAGGGGCAAACTGTGCAGCGGTTCTGTGTGAAATGTCTGCATTTTGATGGACGTTTTTGTACTTTACTAGTGTTTTGTGCTGCAGACAATTTTGCGGGCTTCTACATCTATGAGGCTCCTAGTTCTAGGAGTACCCTCTTTATAGGCTAGTCAGAAAGTGCTGCCTTTTTCAGATGTATATTTTTCGTGAAATTTCCAGATTCATTTTTACACGTTTGCGTATCAAAATTTCAACATGAAATTTCACAAAAATTAGACATCTGAAAGAGGCAGCACTTTCTGACTAGCCTATAAAGAGGGTGAGTATGCTTCTAAAGCAAAAAAAACCTACAAACTAAGCCTAAATGTAAAAATCAAAATTTGGCAAAGTCGACACGATTTTTGTACATGTGGACGTGTGGCCTATGTTTACGGAGGCAGTCCAGTAAATAGGCCACATTTATGGAGCTAAGGCCACACATCCACATGTACAAAATCGTGTCGACTTTGCCAAATTTTGATTTTCACATTTAGACTTACTTTTAATTGTAGGTTTTTTTTGCTTTACAAGCATACTCACCCTCTATATAGGCTAATCAGAAAGTGCTGCCTTTTTCAGATGTCTGATTTTTTGTGAAATTTCATGTTGAAATTTTGATTCGCAAACGTGTGCAAATGTATCAAATTGCATGATGTTACTACGATCATCCAAGGCAATGATTTTGGTGAATTTGTGTTTGAAACATATTTCATCTATCAAACTTCTTTCCAAAACCCATACTGTGCTGACCCCCAAAAAATCTCCATGCAAGAAGGCTTACATAGCCTTCTAATTCTACAAGTAATTTTCATGCCACATGTTTCTTAAATTTTTCTGGCATGGTTGATTAATGCACTACTGAAACTGTATTGTGCATAGAAAATAATACTATATATCCCTATTCATAAACTTTTGTGTAAAAAGTGATGCCACTGTCATCTTCTCAGTATTCCAAACACTCAACACATTTCGTATTTTTGTAGAATGTATAGCATAACATTGTTATAACAATAAAAGTACCTTTTCCTTGTAGATGTCTACCATCACTATCAAAGTTCTGTCAAGAAATGCCTACCCAAAGAAATTTGACCATGCACTCCAAGTAGTCACGAGTGACAACAAGTTGTTTGAACTGTTCCTACCAGAGGACCAAACTCACAAACTGGAGCAAGGAAAGTTCTACAAGCTTGTTGGCTGCAATGCGTTCATCGTAAAATCAACTAACAAACACGCCTTCAAACTAACCCACAAAACAAGGGTAAGTACCACACTTTTCATTTTTTTTAAATGGCAGAAATATGTTCGTACAATTCTCTGACCCTCTCCATCTTACACAATAAACTACCCACTTGTTACCTTCATTGACAATATTTGCTCACCTTCACAAAGTTACATGCATACATGTAGCTTGTTATCACTATTACTGTTACACTTGTCTTACTAATTATATCACACTGCTAGCTTTCACCATAACCTTCTGCCATATAGCATAGAACAACACATTTTAGATGTCAAAATCCACACTTTTACTAAATCTTTCATCTTGTTTTTCAGATCTTTTATACAGCACCCTTTCCGATTGCACAAGAAGTGGAAGACAGCTTCTTTCACGCTAAGAAAGTCACCATTCCTGAGGCAGTAGCCCTTCCCAAGGACACCCGAGTCAGTATGCGCGGTGTCATTGAAGCTGTAAGTTACAATTGCATTAGTACATCCTTTAGGCCTAATAAACACCATCATATCACCTCACCCACACATTCTGTATCTTCATTGACCGAGAGCGACTCACATATCACTCACTATTGTTGCTATCTTACTGTACACAACATGCAAAAACTACTATACACATAGCAACCAAAGTACTAAGACTGTAACAACCACAGTATAAAACCCGTAGCAACCACAGTACTATGCAATGACAACTGGTATTGTGTGCAAATTACATAACAGGTGTGGGTGTATGCTTTCTACATATTGGCAGACTTGTATTTGAGTCATGAAACATCGAGTCCAAGTCCGAGTCCGAGTCACATTTCTCGTGTCCAATTCCGAATCCCAAGTCCTCCAGGTCGAGTCCGAGTCACGAGTTGCCTCTAACACTGCATTTGAAAAACGTTCATTTTAGGGAATTCAGAGATTCACAGTCACCTTTGATATACCATTTAATGTTACCAAAACAGGCACATCACCAGACCGTATTCATATCGTGTTACGCATTATCACGATGCGACAGCAATACACGTGTCAACGACAAGGCATCTGACAACAAAAGTCTGGTACATTACCCTATCAATCTTGCACCAATGCAGTATTACGTGCAAACGGCACGATACACGTTTCGGTACATTGATTTCTTTAATCAATTCATCAGTAACCGGCACGGCCACACACGCATCGCATCCAGCACCCTGTACATGTATTGCACAGTAAAGGAACAATCAACTTAACTTGTTTGCACGTGTGCAGTGCGGTAATTTCCGTCAAGTCACAACTCAGTTCAAGTCCAAGTCCGAATCCATAGCCCTGAGTCCGAGTCAAAGTGACTCAAGTCCAACTCTGAGTCATTAAAAATGTGACTCAAGTCAAATTCGAGTCCGAATCCGAATCACGAGTCATACAAGTCTGCCTATTGGTCGTAAGCACTGGCACTATATGAGATGGGTTGAAACGTTTTGTGATGGTTTAATTTAGACCAGCGGCAACTATACTTTCACCTACTCTCGTATTCAAATTTGAAATACATTTCCATGGAACATGTACATGTATTTCAATAAAATTAATCAGTTATGACTTAAAATCAAGCAGAATCTGCAGGAGAGGTGTTATAAAACAAATATTGACTCCTTTATCTCATGGTGCAGTAAAACTGGCATCCCTCAGTGATCCATCCAGCATTCCATTTTCCGTCGGCTTCGCCTCGGAAAATAACAATGCTTTATGAATCACCTCCCACAGCTAGTTGTACTTCACCAGTCAAAGTACTATAGCACCCAAATTCCACTGCAGTCATACGTACAGTACATGTATCTATAACTTCTCATTATTTGAAATTTATTTCGAGTTTTATGCACAGTTTTCTAGCATTTTGCTCCTATTCCCATCCCCATACGGCATATATTTTCATTACTACATGTATGGTTACTAACCCCACATACTACAAATCCTTATTTCTCACTTTTAACACAACTAAATACTTTCAACTCCATATTGCTTAACGCAAAATAAAATTACCACATTCTATATCACAATATAGCTGCCACATCAGTCTCACTTCAACGTTCCTCTCTACAAACAGGTCTCACCCGTTAAAGAAGGGCCGTCGTACTCACTTCAGAGTTTAGATCTCGTTGACAACACACGCAACAAGAAGATCACAGTAAACCTGTGGGGCCGCAACTCAGAAGTACAAATTCCACCAAGTGGAACTGAAGTGACTGTCGAGAATCTTCTCACCGATTCCTATCAAGACAGAGTAGTGCTCAAAGCCACACAAGAAACAACATTTTTGGTAAGTTTTATCAGCACTTACATACAATGTACTGTACACATATTTTTAGAAATTTTCTTTACAACCAGATACTCTTTTCAATAATCTTTCTGTTGTTTGTTATATGCAGACAGAAGAAGCACCTGCAGCGACAGCAAAAACTGTAACGTTTGTTGCATTCATTGAGGACAGGTAATACCTTACACTTCATTACAGTTTCATCATCCTACAAGCAACTATATATAAGCAGCTTGCCACTAACAATACCACTCTATTACATTTGTCTCTAAATGCACTCATAAATTTGCATGCCATTCAACTGTTATACAAATATGACTAACAATAAATTCTGAAAGTACTTGGGGGGGGGGTGGTGTGTTCGCATCCATCAAATTTGTATTATATCCATTTTGCAATTGTTGCAAACAAATACAATATACTTTCTAGCCAGTGTCCCATACATAACACTCAACATATACACATTAAAACACATACACAATGTCACCATCTTATTATTACTGTACATGTAATTGCTATAACTTTTTGGATGTCACAGCATGGGGGAGGGTTTCCTCCCTCCTTGGCTGATGACAGAAATTTGTACATACAGCATCCTAAAAACAACTGCCCAGCCATACTTTCATGTCATCATACTGGTTTCCACATCTGCAAAACAATTTGTTTTAATTCTAAAATATATTTTATACACTGTACTCCAAAATACACTGTTTATAGCATTTGTTTTCATTTTTACTCAAACGTAATCAGTACCTTTTACATGTTGTACTGTCATGTCCACATACTACATATACTATAAACGTTCATGTACATACCATCACCTTAACCCATCGTAACATTCATTGCAAACACATCATTAAATGAGTGTAACTCATCACTATGTGGGTGGATGTTTATGAACTAAATACTATTTTCTATATTTTAATTTCCATTCACACATGTCAAAGCACAGTGATAAAGTAGCTACAAATTTATGTATGCAATTTTTGGGACACTTTGTATATTTTTTTCAGTTTACCAAATACATATTCACAATCATCAACCACATTCTCACTGTTCCATTCTTCATCACATCCCAGCCGCTATTTTTGTCATCTACCACCCACACACACAATTCTTCACACATGCTTACATAGTAGACTAACACATAGGTTTATGCAACACTTTACTACACATTCCCTTCATAATACAATGATCAAATTGTCACACATCTGTAGTATGCACAAACTAACATCACCCCATATGCATAAAATGATACTAACACACATACATACTTATCCATGTAATCAGCATTTTCATGAGAACAAACAATTGGATTAGGAACATTAACTACATGAATGTTTATTAGGTACAATAAAACAAATACATCTATAACTTTGTTTGAAGGCATATACTCAATATAGGTACAAAATATATTAACAGTTGACAAACTACTTTGTCTACTTCTAATACTTTGTGTCACCAATATTAACTCTCTACCTATAGAACCGTGTTACAAATGTAAACTACTGCCTATAGTAACTAATGTATTCTCCACATATCTCTGTCTTCAGTAACAACATCACTTTCCTTGATGACCTTGACATCGAGTATTATAGCACAGCTGAGCTACTCTGTAACACCCTTGCCATTCAGCAACCTGCTGAAGCTCATCAACATCTGCCCTTGACTGTCAACATTGAGCTGCAGACTGTCACAGGCAAAAACACCATCACCTCCATGGCTAAGACATGTGACAGGTAAAACAACACAGTCGTGACAACTATTATTAATGAAGTTAGGGTGTTTGAAGAAGTTAGGGTGTTTGACTCTTGGACAACAATACATGGGTTCAGGCCCTACTACCACTATGTTGCTTGTGCCCTTCCACTACACACTTAAATAAAATTTCCCCTTTCCACGCACAAGTTTCAATGGCCATAACATGGCTAAATGGCTAGTATTGAACCCAATCAAATGCTCATATCAGCAATGTGGTCCCTGCCCTGATGACAGACACACTAATTCTAAAGCATTTTCACATATTTCAAACAATACAAGCCACTTTCAAATATTTCAAATGCTAGTCATAGACAGTCAAGAAGGTGTTTCACAGTAATATGCACCATTTTGTTCATAAAGCAAAAAGAGCACACATTGCTAGATGCAGTCGCATTTTAAAATGACCGCATGATGACTTGCAACCCTCAAAGTTTCCATTGACAATGCGTGCACAGCAACCTGTGTACAATTGCCACGCAAGCAAGATGACACATTACTGTAAAACACCTTATCACACAACACTTCAAATATCTCTCATTTGTTCCTCTCATTAAGCATTACCCCATTCACTTTGTACACAATACAATTTCTGCAGAATGCAAAAAGTCTAAGTTTTTACATCAATTGTTTCATATTCTTCATTGGGTACAAATATACATTTTCTATACACTTCACATGAACACAATCACATGTTCTAATTTTCATATCCCTGTGGACACATCACATTTGTTTTCCTTTGTTCCTACACTGTACTGTAACTCCATACACATTCCACATAAAATTCCTTGTGCAGACTTTTTCCTCTTTAAAATTTCCTTATCCACACTATTCATGCTTTTGTGCTTTATTATTTGTGAATGTCAACTATGCAGCAAACATTCACACAAGTCCAATAAACACACTTTAATTTGACCAATGTTTTGTACACGTAGCTACAATGTTGTCCTAAATGATTGGACCACCTGACAATAATCATACCCTGCCCCAGTCTCCCACTCCCCTTCTCCCATGGTCAATGTTGTTATCTCCTCCTGTACCATACACCTTGCAAATCTCCAGCTGCACCAAAAACCGCACAATGAGAGACAACATTCACCATGGGCTTGGGAAGTGCTGGTCCAGCAACATATGGCTGGCACTGTGCCAACATACTCTTCCTAATCATATATTTACTTTCATTTTCTTTCTTTACATTTCAGCTCTGACAACAATGACGAATCCCCAAAGTAGATCAACTTCTTTGTGCTGTTCACAACTGTTTCAACAGTTCCATACTTAAAGGGAATATACATCATTTGCTTTTGCTGTAATTTTCAGAAATGAATGGAATTGGGGGGTTGGAAATATATAGCAAATATAGTTACACTGACTTTTTTGAGGTTTTGGGTTCGAAAATGCTATAAAAACCAAGAAAAACAATCATTTTCCTGTAGTCTGGTTCCCTGACTCCATTTAAGAAGAAACAGAGCAGTTTACATATATTGGGGAATTGTAAGGTCAGGGAACCAGTCTAGCTGGCCCGTACCCGTTCATAGGTGTGTAATCGATTGCAAACAAGTGCGATGGTCAACTGGGGCCAGTATTTGAAAAAAGCCAGTTTTTTCCAACGCTGATCGGCCGATCAGCGTTGGAAATTGATACAAAAATACCACTGTTCTTGAAAATGACAGTATACCAGGTGCCATGATTTTACAGGATGCTTTACACTGTCATTCACTAACAGTCCAGCAAGGTATTTCAAAATGATTTGGTAGTTTTATTTTTTGATGTTTGCAAATGTTGTATTTTCCCTTTAAATAACTGTATAGTATATTCACTTTTAAAGAGTTACCGTTTTAACTGTTTAATAGTTCAAAAGTTGTATTTATCATAGAGCTATATTAAATTACTAGAGCGCTAACTCGTCAATATCCATGCCGAAACACTTTGAAGCCGTCCTGGGCACAGACATTTTGAATTCATGTCCATATTTGTAGAACATAAAGAAAATAGATGGATTGAATGTTGAAAGTGTATTCCACATGTACATGTATACTGGTATAATATTTACGTGTATGTATACCGGTATAACATGTACAGGTATGTGTACCAATATATCATGTACACTACGCATTTTGGGGATGTACATGACGTTCTCATTTGATCTTTTAGTTTGTCAAGTTGGACAAGGGAACGGGTAGGCGTGGGGTGGGGTGGCGGATAGAGGTTGGAGTTAGGGTTGGGTTGGTGGGATGGTAAGGATGAGTAGGGAACCTACGATGGGGTGGGATGGAGTGGGGTAGGTTGGGGTATAGGGGTTAGAATACTGGGTTTAGGTGGGGTGGGCATTTGTAGGAGTGGGGTGGGGACAGGTACGGAGAGACAGATAGGGAAAGATGGGCATGAGTGTAGGGGTTGGGATACAAGGGGGTCAGGGAGGGGGAGATATAGGGATTTGAGTACAAATTGGGTTGGGGGTGTATACAGGTGGATGTACGGGTTGGGTAAGGGAGAGGTGGAAGTACATGTATATAGGGATGGGAGTACGGGTCGGGATTGGTTCAGGATGTATGGGTAGCGGGAATGAGGTAGACAAGATTTAGGGATTCGAATACAGGTTGGGGGAGATGTGTAGGGGTGGGTAAGGACGGATGGCGGAAGATAAAGAAAATAGGGGTTGAGGTAGCAGACACTACGAATCAGGGGAGGGGGGAAAGAAGATAGGGATTGGACTTTGAGTAGAGTTGGGATGTCTAGGTAATGAGGTGAGGATGGGATGGGTGTGTGTAGGGGGTTGGCATAGGGGCGGGGGCAGTTCTAGGATGGCGTAAGGTTTGGGCCATATGGTGATGGTACTGTATCTCACAGGTGGTAGAGCAAAAACACTTTGGACAACAACCCAAAAACTGAAAATTTCATACGCTAAATATGAGCAAATTTGAACAAGGTGGGATTGAAACTTCTTATTTTTATGGGGGGAGGGGGTGATTTGGTACTTCACAACACTGCAAATATACCATACAAAGTGCTGTAATTGATGCAGTACCAGTAGACTAATCCAGTGCTCACAAGTTTTTAATCCTCACTACTTTTTTTGTTCTCCTAGATATTAAAATCCCTCTAAATTCAATGTCAATTACAATAACATTCTACTGCAGTTTGTTCAAGACTCAGCAGTCTATATCATTCAAATTTCCTGATAAACAATCTCATTTTTAATCCAACTAAACATTATATAACTTTTTCGTGGTTCATTATGAAGTGCCTGTAATTTTCAACTAATTTGTGCTTTAATTACACAAACATTCCATTGTATTAAAATTCAATTAATCAGTTATTGCTTAGCCTTACCAAACCTGTGACAGAACTGGCTTCAAACGTTTCTATGAAAAGTAGTTTTATGAAGTTCAAACTGTCTTTTTAAATAATTCTCATTTCAAATGGTCATACATTTCAACATATTTAAAGAGAAATAATCAATAGGCACTCCAATCAAAAAAAGCGTTTGTAACAAGAGTTATACAAACAAATAATGACACCTGATTCGTGTATATTGAAACTAGCCCTCCCTTCATCATCAATGCACCATTCTGGCCTTTGCAGCCTTGTTTTACTACACCATTCCAATCACTTATTATTTCTAAAACCATTCTGTAATATCTTTTCAAAATTTCAATGATTTTAAAGTGCAAGATAAGGCCAAAAAAAATTAATATTCGGTCTCTGGTCAGACCAAAGTTCCAGAATTGACACAAGGACGCGGCTTTTTTTTTTTTTTTTTCTTTCTTTAACCTTGGATTGTACAGACAAGGTGGGGTACTATTTTGCTTATTGGGTGACCTCATATACATTGGTGTCCTACATAATTTGCCTCGGTGCTTTCAATCATTTGCCTTGGTGCAATTTCCCATTCTTTGGTGCTCTTTGGTAAAAAAAAAAAGAGGAGGGGCGGCAATAGAAAGCGCTGTTGGAGCTACCGCGGAAAAAAAGAAAGGTTTACGCACATGATTAAAATCGAACACGCGCACTGACCAGAGACCGAATACTTTTTTTTTTTGGCCTAAGAGTATTTATACAAAAAAGTTGTCATCATGATTTACAAACAACGATGCAGACTGTCATTCTGATCAATATCTGATTTTCCAAATCAGCTAATACCCATACGTTCTCCCTTCATTTGTAATCTATTATCAACTAGTATGTATAATTACCCAACAATCTGTAAGAAACGGTTCAGTTATTGTAAAAATTGTAATAATTCTATGAATAAAATCACCACATGTGTTCATCATGTATTGCATCATCCGTCCCTTTTCTCTGCACTGCAAATATTTCTTACGATCTACCCAACCCACTTGGTCATAAATTTACCACAACCAGTCATGTGGCTGCTAAGGCAAAGCGTTTGCCGTTGTTAAACAAAGCTAATCAAATCAGGTTGACCGTAAAGTCATGACTAAATTCTGCTAAATGCACTTCACAAATCTGTCAGATTTATCAAAAATCTGCCAAATTACCAAGAATTACTCGAAATACACTATAAACACTAACATTAACAACACGTCACATGGAGATTTTATAGTATTGCCTTAATTAATATTCAAATTACAATATAAACAATCTATATCCACTTAAACACAATATCAAAATACATTCGTAAATTTCAAGCAAAACCAGGTTGCATCCAACGACAAAATCCAATTCCCAGTGAACATCGACACCTCAGTACACCAGCCAACCTGTCCCATTATGCAAGGGTTTGTTTGGAAAAATTAAAGCTTTTGTAAACAAATGTATCATTTCTTTTGCACATTTGCAGTTTTTCTGTCAAATAACCATTTATACAAAATTAGCATATCTAATGAATTAGAAATTTGATTGGGTCGACACCATATATTAGTATTAAGCAACATTATAGGATAAATATGTAGCATTATTATTAATGACCAGTTTAATGTTTACATATTATGATGACATGAATATATAATGAAGCAATCTTTATAGTCCCTTAACTTTAAAACTATTCACCCGATTGATCCCAAACTTGGTAAATATCTACACAGGAAAGAGCTATAAATAAACAAGTGTATGCCAAGGTCATGTGACCCTTACTCCCGGTCTTTACCGGAAATGCAAATATGTAAGATACTAATCTCCATTTTAACAGTTAGAGCTTTTTGAAAATCTTTACATTATTTTGTACTATCAAACAGACAGCCAAAAACAAGTTGGGAACAGCTCTGTGGTTGTTCAGTTACAACCACATCTAGTTTCTTTCTTCTTCCTCTTCTTTTTCCCCAAAAGCCCATAGACTTTGTACACGTTTATTCTACACGCCACTTTTGCCATTAAACTTTGTTGCATATCGTTCAAAGTTTGCATAGGCATAGTCCATACAGCATAGTTGTATGCGGACGAGCGACGTCATGATGACGTCATCGACTAATTTATGATAGATTTTTGAATATTGAATTATTCCCATAGACTTTGTACACAGAAATAAAAAAAGAAAAAAACTCAATTTTCAAAGGGCATTTTTGACTCTTTGCCAGTAATTCATTTACACAAATCTTTGTCCAAGCAAACACCTAAATTCAAACAACATTGTGTAATGATGACGTCATGATGATGTCATCCGGAGTTTATTTATGGGCAATTAAATTGTGACACTTTTAATATTTAAAAATGCATAAGAAATCAACCGTACGCGTCCGTAGCATTCTGTTGCCGGCAAGTGGTAGAGTAGGTTAAGCTCTTTATTTCATTCAGTGTGTGTGAAATCACGTGACCCTTGCTTCCGGTCGAAAAAAAAGGCCAAAACCGGAAGTGGCTTATTATTTAAAAGTGGTAATAGATATGAACTTGCTTTTAGCGGTGTTAGTTTCTTGGCTGATAGTGTTCTTCAAATCATCTACCGATGACGTCATGCATTCTTCGAGCGCCCTCTGGCAACAGGTTGAACAATTTCAAAAATGTATTTTGAATAGATGTCTGTGGCGAAGTTTGTCTGAATCGCCTAAATATTGGTGTATATGATGACCTAGACCCCCTTAAGACGTGTGCGAAGTTTTAGGCGTATGACATCATCAGACCCGAAGTTATAATGAAAAGACCCGTTTTCTTTTGAAAATTCATAAAAAATCAACCATGGCAGTTTTTATATTAGTTTTTACTTTAATTGTCTATTTAAGGGTAGGTCTAAAACATTTCAAAGCTTCGAGGCAATAAGCGAACTCGGACATGCCCTGCCCACGCTTAAAACTTCAGGTTGACAACACCTCTGCTTTAAAACATGCACAGGACGTCCACAATGTACATATACATGCACGTACGTTGTACATATCGTATGTCAGTCAGCCTGCGGCGCACGTGTTGCCGAGGTCAAATCCTATCCACAGTGACCGTTTTAGCCGATTTTCGGCTAACTTTGACAGATTTTATGTTCATGCATAGTCAGGGGCATATAACTGATAAAAACAAATCATAATGCGGAAAAGCCCTATGTTCTGTTGCAAACAGACATAGATTTCTAGTTAGTTGTTGTTTTTGTACAGGAGTGACACCCCTTTAATACTCCATCATTGTTTTTAAGAGTTCAAAAGTGCCCCTATGATCTTGGCCTTGCCATTCCCTTTACATTGTATGCGAATTTGACCCGGGCAACCTAATTATTTTCCTGAAGACCATGCCTTTTCCAAATAGCCCTTCAATTTTCAGACTGGCAGTGGAGTGAGCACATCACATTTTCTTTGCTCCTTCATTCATTTGTTTTCTGCCTTGAGAGACTTGGTCTGCCGTAGACTTAGTAAGTTTAACCAAAGTTGTTCTTGTTTAGGTCTCTTTGAAAGTTTGTTCATCAGTTTTAGTGTACTGTATAACTAGAAATTTATTTTAGGGTTTTTATTAGGATGTTCAATTACTTTTTAAACTGATGAAAGTAAAATGCGTTTGTTATTTTGTTTCAAGTAGCGTTTCAAGTTTAAGTTAGAATGACAGAGAAATGTTCCTTTTTAACAGTGCAAAGAAAGAGTCTAATTGATTATTTGTGCGTTGCAATAAAATCTGTTGTGGAAAGTCAAGATATGGGTTATTTCATGATTAGCTGGATTTGACGGAAGAGATGAATGAATTTATGTACTTAATTATTTTTCTGTGTGTGTAAGATTTTCCAGGGTGTTTTCTTCACTTAGTTTGGGCTGTAGATTAGATGAGATTAACTGAACCTGATTATGTAGGAACTGTTTTTCTTAGAATTGATAGATTATATTTTGTGGTCTATAGATGAAGTGAAGTGTTCTGATCAGAAAACCCTTGGTCTGTAGAATAAGGAACACTGTCGATGTCTTCTTTTTGTGTTTGTGTGTGGGTGTGCTCTCACGCAGGGCTAGATATGGGGTACTTTGTCAACTCCATCATACCCATATGGGGTACAATGCCTTTGTGGGGTACAAAATCAGTACCCCATAAAGATATTCTCTCAGTTTTCTTCACTGACCTTGAATGACCTCTAGAAATAAAAAAAAAGTGATACCCCTTAAGGCGGTTGTGTGAACGTGTTGTTATTTTGGCACTAGAATATGGCTAGATTAGCTGTGCTAGTTACATGTTCATACACAGTATAGCGCCCTCTTTTGTTGGCACAATACTGGTGCCCCACAAGTGACAACATGTGGTGCTCACACACACAGATTACGGCGTGCGCTGCAATTTAGTAAAAATGTCTGCCTCGATGGCCACTAAAGATGCTAAAGTGGAGCGTTTTCCCTGAAGATAAAACCCATAGGACAGACTTATGAGTGACTTTTGGACATGGATCGACGTGGATATAAACAGTAAGTTTACTTTTTGGCACATTTAGTTGATCAGTGCTTTATGCCTAGGCTAGGGTCATGTAGGCCCTATGTATGTAGTAGGCCTAGGCTATACACATTAGGCCTATATTGTAACGAAATGAATCCTAACGTTACCGGCGGTAGGCGTGCAGCCATGTTGAAAAAAATGCCTACACTGAGAGATTTACATGTAATCTCACAATCCAGCGATGATTTCTCAATTTCACTCCCCTCCGACCGGGACAGCACTTTAGTTCATCACAATGATTCTGATCATGAGGAACCTTCTGCAGCCTCGGGTTCTGCTTCTACTACAACTAGTACAAGGCCAAAACTTGAATGTACCAAGTGTAACCAACTGAAATCAGAACTGCAACATGCAAACAATGTAACATATTGTTGTGTCACCCTATTGATTGGCTTGCTGCTGGGTACATTCGTTGCTTTAGTACAATTATATGGCTGTCTATCGTTCTAAATATTGCATAAGGTAAGTTTGTCAAAATTAGGCCCGTATTAGACGAGTCCGAGTAACTTGGCCGCACAAATTGCCTTTTTTAACATTTGGACAGGTTTGGCGATAGTAGAGTCCAAGCGCAAACTCGCGTTGAAATCCCTGTGTGTGACACACGTCCACAAAAAAAAAAAAAAAAAAAAAACCTTCATTATTTTCAGCCCCCAAATAGCCATAAAACGACAAGATATGCAGCCTAAGACATGTAAGATATCTGTAGACTTCCCTGATTAAGTGGGTGGTATGCTGGTTAACTTACCATCTGGACGGAAAGTTGAATTTGCAGCTATATTCCGACAAGTTATTCTCACCGTACCACTGCGTCGCGTCGTTCACGTAAAATTTATTTGAATTGTCAGCTGTTGTTTTGTTATTGTCATGTGACCCCGGGGCTCACGTGACGTGACGTGCATAATCCCATTCTTAAAATAGGGGGGGGGGAACAATTAAGTTTCTCATGCGATAAAAAGGAGTTTTAGGCATCCAATCTAAACATCTTGTCTTTTATAGTTGACAAAAAGGTTAGAAGTAACAACCTTTTTGTCAGCTATAAAAGACAAGATGTTAAGATTGGATGCCCAAAAACTCCTTTTTATCGCATGAGAAAATTGTTCCCCCCCCCCCCCCCCCCCAATTTTAAGAATGGGATTATGCACGTCACGTCACGTGAGCCCCGGGGTCACATGACAATAACATAACAACAATGTAGCTGACAATTCAAATAAATTTTACGTGAACGACGCGACGCAGTGGTACGGTGAGAATAACTTGTCGGAATATAGCTGCAAATTCAACTTTCTGTCAAGATGGTAAGCCCCCCTCCCCCCCCCCCTTCACTTTTGAAATTTTAAAACAACTAAAATGCTTTGGAAATTACAGAGTCCATCCTGGTGGATCACCAAGGAAAACTCGCAAATCTGCTCGAAGTGGTGCAGTGAACCCAATTGATGTTGCTACAACATCAAAACGGACTGGGAGGGACCTGCAGAAGTTTGTCGTGCAGGAAACAGTTTCTAAAGGTAAGACATATTGCACATTGGTTTTTCTATAAAATACTATTTGTTGCAAGAAATTTGAAGCGAAAGCTCATTTTATAAGGTTTAGGGAAGTACATGTTAGTATGTTGGTTTGGTGTTTGAGACTTTATCCTGAAATCTCTGATTCCAGTCTTTGCTGACCAAGATAGAAGCCCAAGATGATTCATTATTAGGTCGTGGATATACACTGCACCTCAAAAGTACTTGTTCAGCTGATCTTTCTGTAGAACATTGAGTTGACTCAATTAATTTTACAGGATATGTGAAATTTCAACAATGTCCGATAGTATTCACAGTTCTGATCAAGTTGCACATTTTAAACAGTTTTGAATGGGACAATTCTATTTTCAGTGACTACAATGAACAAATGGTATATTTACAGAATTGTTCACTTTTTGCCATGTCAACAGGAAGAGGTGTGTTTGCAACTGAACAAATTCATAAGGGGGAATTTCTGTGCATATATAATGGCGACCTCATATCAGAGGAAGAGGGAAGGCAAAGAGAGAAGGAAGAAGGCTCATGTTTTCGATTTTTCTTCACCACTCCAAGCACTTCACACACTGGAATAATTAGGATGTGGTAAGTTTTATTTTATTTCTACTTCTATCCTGGGAATTACTGTATTACATGTTTTATTTTTGAAAACTAAAACAGACTTGTAACTGTGGGGAGGTGGGGGTGTTAAAAATGGCCCGGTATGTGAAGCACAAACTGCCAAATAGTACAAAACCAGCCAAGTCCACACTGCTTGCCATGTGGGGTACTAGTGTGCAAATGTACTGTACATGTACGCTTGTAAAAAACAGTGGGTGCTACATGTAGATGATAACAACGGCCATGTGCAATTGAAAATGTGCTGGGCCTGTAAAGCAATGACTGGCAATTGATTGGTTCCAGAGTCACCCAACTCCACAAACCCCACACTGGTATTACCACGTGGGGTACTTGTGGAAATGTACGGCTGTTTAACAATGAATGTACACTGGTTACCATATGTGGGGTACTTGTTCAATGATAGTAACAATCAAATATTGTTAAAAGTGTTGAAAATCATATGAGTACGATTTTTGAGAACATGAGGGGAAAATAAAATAAAATAGGGTAAAATAGCGAGAGTACCATGATTTTTGATGGCGCACCGCATGGGAAGTTCGCCCGTCCCTGGCCCCACCGGCACACAAAAACAGCACTTAATTCCTATGCCACATGGACGTGTACAAGGATTCGATTCATACATAGCGTTAGGCAATGTATAAGCCATGTCCTTATACGTATGCAGTATGTGAGAAACTGCAATTTCGATGATTCCCACAAAACTCATATACACTTTGCGTAGTCGAAGTAGGAAACCAGTTATACTCATGATTGTGTGCACGTTTATGTTAAGCGCGATCTGGCCAATCTGTACTATTGGATGATCGCGCAGATCTGTGTTGCGCGATGGGTTGCCTGTGTAGGATAACTCGAACGTTACTTGCCTTTTTAATCCACCAATAGTGCAGCGCCATCATAACTTCGCGGAATAACAACACTTCGAATTCGTTTCGTGTTTCGTAGCTGGACATTGCGTTATGATTTTCGAATGCATTTCCTAAAACCAAATGCAATTTAACAGACCTAACATGTTTTTACAATTCGAATGCATTTCCTAATTTACCGAATGCAATTTTACAGACCGAACATGTTTGTACGATTCGAATGCATTTCCTAAAACCAAATGCATTTTTACAGACCTAACGTGTTTTTACAGACCTAACATGTTTTTACGATTCAAATGCAGTTCGAAAACCGAATGAAAGGTCACAAACCTAACACTCCAATGTAGATTTCCCGACATGAAACAGCCGTATATATGTTTTGAATTTGAAAAGCGTTTCAATCTTTTTGACCACGTTCGGCCTGAACTTTACCGATGATCCGAAGTGCACCCAAACCTGCGTGAACCTGGCCGCATATTCGGCGCGATTCTCCAGCCCCGTATTCACGTAGTACGGAGGCCAATAAACAACACTATAGTTATGAGTTTTAAAAACTATTGTTTCTGCAACAAAACCGCCACATTGAGGACTAAAGAGCAGTCAAAATGCCCATGACATAAATAAGGGTGTCGCCCTGTCTACACTAGTTTTTTTCCTGTTTTAAGGGGTATAGGGTTCCCCCCTACAATTTGTTGTTCCTTTTTTTACTCAGTCTTGTGAATTTCTCATTTCTTTTGTTGGTTTACTCGGGATGGGTCCACTAGGTCCCCTCGTAGTTTACTTGTTTTCAATATTTAAATGTTTATATTTTTTCATATTTCAATTTTTGATATGAAATGCCTTGTATTGATATTTTTACATCTTTTTTTAAGTATGTTTTCCTACAACTGTTTGTAATTATAATGTTAAGATTGGCTTATTTTGTAAAAACTGCAAAACTTGATGTGCAACACCTCATACAGCTGAAACCAAAATAAAGTGTAATAATAATAAAAATAATAATAATGGATATTTATAAAGAGCCAAAATCCGCCTAAAAGACCCTCAAGGCACTTTGCAGTTTTTACAAAATAAGCCAATCTAAACATAAAATAATAACAGTTGTAGGAAAACATACTTAAAAAAAGATGTAAAAAATATCAATACAAGGCATTTCATATCAAAAATTGAAATATGAAAAAATATAAACATTTAAATATTGAAAACAAGTAAACTACGAGGGGACCTAGTGGACCCATCCCGAGTAAACCAACAAAAGAAATGAGAAATTCACAAGACTGAGTAAAAAAATGAACAACAAATTGTAGGGGGGGAACCCTATTCCCCTTTAAAACAGGGAAAAATCTAGTGTAGACAGGGCGACACCCTTATTTATGTCATGGGCATTTTGACTGCTCTTTAGTCCTCAATGTGGCGGTTTTGTTGCAAAAACAATAGTTTTTAAAACTCATAACTATAGTGTTGTTTATTGGCCTCCGTACTACGTGAATACGGGGCTGGAGGATCGGGCCGAATACGCGGCCAGGTTCACGCAGATTTGGGTGCACTTCGGATCATCGGTAAAATTCGGGCTGAATGTGGCCAAAAAGATTGAAACGCTTTTCAAATTCAAAACATATACGGCTGTTTCATGTCGGGTTATCTGCATTGGAGTGTAGGTTTGTAAACTTTCATTCGGTTTGAACTGCATTCGAATCGTAAAAACATGTTAGGTCTGTAAAAACATGTTAGGTCTGTAAAAATGCATTCAGTTTTAGGAAATGCATTCGAATCATACAAACACGTTCGGTCTGTAAAATTGCATTCGGTTCTAGGAAATGCATTCGAATTGTAAAAACATGTTAGGTCTGTAAAATTGCATTCGGTTTTTAAGGAAATGCATTCGAATTTTAAAAACATGTTAGGTCTGTAAAATTGCATTAGATTTTGAGAAATGCATTTGAATCGTAAAAACATATTACAGTAGGTCTGTAATATTTTATTCTGTTTTAAGAAATGCATTCGAATTGTAAAAAGATGTTACAGGTCTGTAAAATTGCATTCGGTTTTAGGAAATGGGTTCGAATCGTATAGATGTTCGGTATGTAAAATTTCATCCGGTTTGGAAAAATACATTCGATGTTTTAAAACACGTTCTGATTTTAAATGCATTACATTTAAAAACAAGTTTGATCTTCAAAAATGCTTTCCATTTTCCAATCTTTTTTACTCTAATTCTGCTTTGTAACTATGTGGGGTACTTGTTCAAATATGGTAGTAACAGTCAAACATTATGTGCTACATATAAATGGTTCCCACAACCAACCAACCCCACACTGGTAACCATGTGGGGTACTTGTTCAAATACGGTAGTAACAGTCAACATTATGTGCTACATGTACATGTAAATGGTTCCCACCACCAACCAACCCCACACTGGGTACCATGTGGGGTACTTGTTCAAATACGGTAGTAACAGTCAACATTATGTGCTACATGTAAATGGTTCCCACAACCAACCAACCCCACACTGGGTACCATGTGGGGTACTTGTTCAAATACGGTAGTAACAGTCAACATTATGTGCTACATGTACATGTAAATGGTTCCCACCACCAACCAACCCCACACTGGGGACCATGTGGGGTACTTGTTCAAATACGGTAGTAACAGTCAACATTATGTGCTACATGTAAATGGTTCCCACAACCAACCAACCCCACACTGGGTACCATGTGGGGTACTTGTTCAAATACGGTAGTAACAGTGAAATATTGTGTGTTACATGTAAATGGTTCCCACAACCAACCAACCCCACACTGGGTACCATGTGGGGTACTTGTTCAATTACGGTAGTAACAGTCAAACATTGTGTGTTACATTTATGGTTCCCACCAACAACCAACCCCACACTGGGTACCATGTGGGGTACTTGTTCAATTACGGTAGTAACAGTCAAACATTGTGTGCTACATGTAAATGGTTTCCACCACCAACCAACCCCACGCTGGTTACCATGTGGGGTACTTGTTCAATTACGGTAGTAACAGTCAAACATTGTGTGTTACATTTATGGTTCCCACCAACAACCAACCCCACACTGGGTACCATGTGGGGTACTTGTTCAATTACGGTAGTAACAGTCAAACATTGTGTGCTACATGTAAATGGTTTCCACCACCAACCAACCCCACACTGGTTACCATGTGGGGTACTTGTTCAATTACGGTAGTAACAGTCAAACATTGTGTGTTACATTTATGGTTCCCACCAACAACCAACCCCACACTGGGTACCATGTGGGGTACTTGTTCAAATACGGTAGTAACAGTCAAACATTATGTGCTACATGTAAATGGTTCCCACCACCAACCAACCCCACACTGGGTACCATGTGGGGTACTTGTTCAATTACGGTAGTAACAGTCAAACATTATGTGCTACATGTAAATGGTTTCCACCACCAACCAACCCCACACTGGGGACCATGTGGGGTACTTGTTCAAATACGGTAGTAACAGTCAACATTATGTGCTACATGTAAATGGTTCCCACCACCAACCAACCCCACACTGGTTACCATGTGGGGTACTTGTTCAAATACGGTAGTAACAGTCAACATTATGTGCTACATGTAAATGGTTCCCACCACCAACCAACCCCACACTGGTTACCATGTGGGGTACTTGTTCAAATACGGTAGTAACAGTCAAACATTATGTGCTACATGTACATGTAAATGGTTCCCACCACCAACCAACCCCACACTGGGTACCATGTGGGGTACTTGTTCAAATACGGTAGTAACAGTCAAACATTGTGTGCTACATGTAAATGGTTCCCACAACCAACCAACCCCACACTGGTTACCATGTGGGGTATGTTAATCAAATGTGCAAATGTACATGGCTTGTGCAAATGTACACGACTGTTCAACAACCAATTTGCATCACTATGTGATTCCATTTAAAATGGATTTGTTGTTTTTCCCATTTTTATTATTCAAGTGTGGATGCAACCAGAGAACCTGATGGGGAAGGACTGATCTTAGGGAGGCTAGTCAACCATGGCACTAAACGACAACAGAATGCACATGTAAAGGTGCTTCAAATAGACACACAGCCAACACTCTGCCTGTTTGCCCTGCGCAATATATCTCCTGGACAAGAGATCCTGTATGATTATGGGATTTCTGAAAAAGACCTCCCATGGAACCAGCTGCAGGTAAACACAAACATTTCTCTGTTTTTTTTCATTAAAGAAAATGCTGATTGCAGTCAAAAGGATGAGTGACTTTTTGAGTTGTAAGTTGTATTTATATTAACATGAATTGTATCAAATAGGGAATAAGTTAATGGATCCATATTTTGTCATGTGTATGATCTACGGGACCACTCCCAGAGACCATCAGTCTGTATTATTATTTCATTTAAATACATGTATATTAATATAAAGCACCATGAGCACTTTTGGATAGATGCTGGTGCTATATGGATATGTTCATTATTATTCCATGTATAAATTGTCGTTGTTAAAATCATTATCATTTTTATCACAGTCATCGTCATTACCATTGTCAATATCATCATCATCATCGCTATCACCACTTTCAGCACAGTGTTTGTGGTGGAGCAGATGCACCACAACAACCACTGTCGTAATCAAACACCATCAACACTTATCATCAATTTTTAAACGAGTCCTAGTGTAATTCATCTAATGAAAATACTATAATTGTGTTTCAGCCTGACACTCATGCTGCTGGTGACTCTGCAGCCGATGGTCACATGAAATGCCCTGCTGAAACTCAGGCTTCTGGTGACTCAGCAGCCGATGGCCACTTGGAATGCCCTGCTGAAACTCAGGCTTCTGGTGACTCAGCAGCCGATGGCCACATGGAATGCCCTGCTGAAACTCAGGCTTCTGGTGACTCTGCAGCTGATGGCCACATGGAATGCCCTGCTGAAACTCAGGCTTCTGGTGACTCTGCAGCCGATGGTCACATGAAATGCCCTGCTGAAACTCAGGCTTCTGGTGACTCTGCAGCCGATGGTCACATGAAATGCCCTGCTGAAACTCAGGCTTCTGGTGACTCTGCAGCCGATGGCCACATGGAATGCCCTGCTGAAACTCAGGCTTCTGGTGACTCTGCAGCCGATGGTCACATGAAATGCCCTGCTGAAACTCAGGCTTCTGGTGACTCTGCAGCCGATGGTCACATGAAATGCCCTGCTGAAACTCAGGCTTCTGGTGACTCTGCAGCCGATGGTCACATGAAATGCCCTGCTGAAACTCAGGCTTCTGGTGACTCTGCAGCCGATGGTCACATGGAATGCCCTGCTGAAACTCAGGCTTCTGGTGACTCTGCAGCCGATGGCCACATGGAATGCCCTGCTGAAACTCAGGCTTCTGGTGACTCTGCAGCCGATGGCCACATGGAATGCCCTGCTGAAACTCAGGCTTCTGGTGACTCTGCAGCCGATGGCCACTTGGAATGCCCTGCTGAAACTCAGGCTTCTGGTGACTCTGCAGCTGATGGCCACTTGGAATGCCCTGCTGAAACTCAGGCTTCTGGTGACTCTGCAGCCGATGGCCACATGAAATGCCCTGCTGAAACTCAGGCTTCTGGTGACTCTGCAGCCGATGGCCACATGGAATGCCCTGCTGAGACTCAGGCTTCTGGTGACTCTGCAGCCGATGGCCACATGAAAAGTCTTATTGATACTCGGGCTACTGGGGACACTGCAGTGTATGGTCACTTGGATTACCCTGCTGACACTCAGGCATCTAGGGACTCTGCAGCCAATGGTGATGTCTTGCTGATTGACACCTGGGTTAACAGGAACTTTACAGCCGATGGCCACATGGAATACTGTGCTGACGCTCAGGCTACTAAGGACTCCGTAGCCAGTGACAAAAGGGAATGCCCTGCTGATGTTTCTCCAAACAAGTCATATGTAGAGGACTCTGATACAAGTTCAGAGATCTCTTTCATCATTCCACTACCGTGCAACTCGAGAAAACCATTGATGGAAACTTCAAACAGAGCCACAGTTCCTGTATTTCTGTACAATGAAACATACCTCAATTCATCATGCTCTACCCCTCAAGAACTTGGGACAGAAGTTGCTCATGCAGACATGGCCATGTCACCTGCTGCTGATGGTGTGGCACAGTTCGTAAGTTGTGACGTCATGTCTTTGTTGGCGAGTATGCAAAATGACAGTGCTGGAGATTGTCAACACTTGATTTCTGTGTCGGGGGAAAACACTGCTTGTGATGACAATAATTCTCAGGCAAATGGAGATTCTTCTAAGCTTGTTGATTCTTGTGTACTGCAAAACTGTCCAAATGGCAAAGGGGAAAGGGCTAGTAGTACTGCTCACATTGAAAGTGGCATTGCATCACATGCCAGTGCGAGAAATTCACCATCTTCATGTTTGCCAGTTACTGATAGGGCCTGTCCTGTTGGTTCTTGTCTTGATGGCTCGACAGTTCCTGATGAGAACTCTTCTGATGGACATGGTGATGGCAACACCCCTGATGGTAGTGACGAATCTCTGTGTGTTTCAGATGATGACATGCACTTTTCTGATGAATCCAAAATCCCTCCTGATAGAGATACGATATATTTCCCCCCTGTCTCAAGAAGTAAAGAAACAAAACAGAGAGTTTACAACAAACGTCAGGCTTGCTTTTTCTGTTCTAAACTTGTAACAAAAATCAGCAAGCACTTACTACATGCTCACAAAGATGAAGAAGAAGTGAAAAGGATTGCATCTATGGAAGTTAAAACCACAGAGAGGGCCAAAGCTTTTGAACTTTTGCGAAATCGTGGAAATTATTACCACAACAAAATGGTCAAGGAATTGAAGCAAGGAGAGCTCATAATGGTTAGAAGACCTTCAGATGATGGTAGTGACAGCACAGACTATGGGCCCTGCCCAGATTGCTTGGGGTTTTATCGCATCAGTGACTTTCGAAAGCACATGAAGTACTACTGCATTGCCAAGGAAAGTGAAATAGACACCGAAGACAGTTTCAGAAATGTAAAGCTTGAAAGTTGTCTACTCATGAATGATTTCGCAGAAGCATCCCCATTGGTGAAAACTGTTCTAGTAGGAATGAAGCAGGACAAGATATCCCAAGTGGTGAAGCAAGATCCCCTAATAATTCAGCTGGGAAATGCACATAGTCGCACTTTTGGGATGGACCCGCAGAGAAGAAGGCATTATGTTGCTCAAGAAATGCGACTGGTTGCAAGGCTTATGATCAATCTACATGAGATCACACAGTCAAATGCTTTAGTAGATGACTTTATTGAGCCCCAGAAGTTTGACACTGTGGTACGTGGTGTGCGCTTGACATCAGGCCAGACTGATGAAATTGAGCGACCTTCAGTTGCCTTAAAACTGGGCCACACTCTTTCCAAATTGGCGGCAATCAAAAGGTGTTCAGCCCTGAGAAGAGGAGACAAGAAAGCTGAGCAGGAGGCCAAGTGTTTCCTTAAGCTCAAAGAAGCTGAATGGGCCGAGCAGATCTCATCAGAAGTCCTTGGCAAAATTTCTCAGCGCAAGTATAACAAGGTTACAGAGCTTCCTGAATCTGATGATGTAAAAATGTTCACATCATTCCTGCAAGAAAACATCGAGAAAGCAACAGTGAACCTGGAACAACGAGCATCTGCCGTGAATTTTCGGAGATGTAGTGAGTTAGTCCTTGCTCGACTCACAACCTTCAACAAACGAAGAACAGGCGAAACAGAGCAGCTTGCGTAAGTTGTGTTAATGTCACAAGGACTTGCTCATATTTGCTCTTCTTTATCAACTTCCTAAAATGTTTAATAGTCACAAACATCTTGGAGTCAATACCCAATTTTCTCTCTGTGGTAATAATACACTTTTCCTGCTTGACATCTTTTATGCATTATGGTTTAGCTGATAATTTCATCGGGGTGTTGCCAACATTGAGTACTTAATAGTGGACATGTCAGCCACCACTGAAAACATGTAACGATAAATGTGCCCAGCTATGTTTGTCAGTTAAAAAAAATATCAGATGGTGCACCAACCCTACTAGAATCAATGATGTATGCCTGTTCATTGTGAATTGGTTATGAAATTGGCAATAAAAATGTATTTCAACCCCATTACACTAGAGGTTTGTTGATCTCTTTGGTGAGTATACATGTATGTGGTTCTGAGAAGAACTGGCCACATTTACTCGACATGTCAAACAGTATGCTCTATCCATCTTCAGTTTCCTGAATGCAAACAGAGCATACATATGTTTGATATATGTTGAGTAAACCTGGTTCTTTTCAGAGCCACACATACATGTAACCATAAAAGAGATGAAACACATTGTGCATCCACAAACCTCTAACTAGTGTATATTGTCTTTCCACCAAGCAAATGTTAAAATCTTTTTAAACCCTATTATTACACTTTAACATGTACTTAAAAAAAACCTCTTTTTTTTCATGTAGTCTCAAGTCGTATACAAGTCGGCCCAACTGGGATGCAGCAAGTATCTCCGACATAAAGCAGTATCTGACGCCTCTTGAACGCCACCTAATGCAGGAATTGGATATGGTGTATACACGTGGTAAACGCGGGAGGAAAGTACCCATTCTGATTCCGGCAGAGACCAAGGCAGCGATGGATCAGCTGACAACTTGTCGTGATGTTTGTGGGGTACCCAAAGAGAATCCATACTTCTTTGCTCGACCTGGCTGTAACACCAACCTACGAGCCTGTGATAGTCTGCGAGAACTCACTAAGGAAGCCAATTTGCAGAAACCGCATCTAATTCGCACCACAAAAATGCGAAAGTATACAGCAACAGTAAGCCAGATCCTCAACCTCAAGGACTCTCAGTTGGATTGGTTAGCAGACCATCTTGGACACAGCATCAATGTTCACAGAGACTACTATCGTCTCTCTGCACCCACTATCGAACTGACAAAAGTAGCCAAACTTATGTTGGCCATTGACAGTGGCAATGTAGGGAAGTTTGTGGGGAAGTCCCTGGACGAAATAGATCTTGATGGTGAGTGTCACATATTCAAGCTTTAGAGGTTGTAGTCAGTAGCCTAATGTTTACCCCTTGCAGAGTCTACATCAGGGTCTTGAATTTAACCTCTGATGAAGACCCTGCACCTTATACTGTCATGCCACCGACCTCAACTTTGCATTCATTTTTTGCAACAGCTCATAACTAGAATTGCTCATTAAGTTTTCAATCATTTTAGATACATGTGGAGCTTAGACAATTTAAGATTTACCTAGTGATCAGAATGCGTATCTCCTACTTTTCTCCTAATTATCCCCAAGTAAATATAAAATAACAGCTGCATTCCATCATTGGAAAGTTGCAAACAAACCTGTCAGTAAATTTTGACTAAATTCATAGTACATGTACACAAGCTTTGTTTTCCTGATAATTGATTTAATTCATCATTGCCGCGTCACTTGATGTTGTGTATGCCACATGATTGATATTAGTGTTGACACTCAAAGTTATGAATTGTTCCGTATTTTTCCATGCCCAGTCATACATGTAGCTGCAGGTGTTTTGATGGAATCTAGCATGCATATTTTATGCATAAGTTTTTGAATGTATATTTTGTAAACTTATTATTCTGGGGGTTTTTTTGTTCACTATTTTGCTTACAGACATTCCTGTGCCAGATATGGATTCAGACACTGAAGAAGCTCAAGGTACATACTTCCGTTACAACCGTTTCTAATATTGAATGCCCAGAACCATTATTTGTGTTTGGAAATGGGTGATGTTCTTGCATTATTGATTCACTTCTTGCTAAATTGCTTTGCCAAGAACTACCAAGTGTAAATAGCTGGTTCAGGAATTGAATTAATGCTTGGCTCATCACTGCAGTGAACATACATACATGTGCAAATAATTGTGTATATGGGCTCAAACTAAGGACGTCCCATTGTGTCTTTGTGTTTAACATTATAAACACATACCTCTTTAGTTTTTGTACACAGTGCCCTACTGAGAAAAATCCCCTTTTGCTGTATACATGCATAATGTACATGACTGTTTGTTTGTTTTTCCTTGGGTGTACTACTGGTTTTCCTCCAGAAATGTTGGTATAATGCAACAGCCCAGCACATAAGAAGAAGCAACTCATTACCGCAACATCTGCTGTCAAAAAGATTTGCAGACCAACCTAGTGCAAACAATTTACAAATGTGCATGTAATACAACTAAAACGTAATTGTTTTCTGCTGATGCACAATTGTTAATCTGTTGCTGTACATTGTATAATCCAGTCGGTACTTCCGAAGCAGCAGCAGGGTCCACAACGCACACCAGGAAGAAACGAGGCACTGGAGATGTGACAGATGTCCGTGCCTCTGCAGTGTCCAGCCCGATGCAGTCTCCAGAACCAGGTCCCAGGCCAACAGGAGAGTCCAATGGTTGGTTTAATTAACTCATTCTCGCTACTGTATTTGAGTACTGGTGCTACACTTTAAAGGGGGTAGAATACGTAAAGGCTCAAGACACAGAAATGGCAAAAAGCTTATCTTTTTGAAAGCTACCGTACTGCAGGCCTGTTTGAAACCATCTCACAAAATACTGATTTGTGACATATGTTAATTAAGTTGCAAACTAGTAATTTCAGATCAAAGTGATCTAATGCACTAGATTATTTCTTGTTTTACAAACAAATTTGGATAGACCTAAGTGGTCACTCACATGACGAATTGCAGTACCTGAGTGGAACTCAAATAACAACGGAATCTGTTTGATGGAAGCAAATCGAACAGCATGCTGGGGGTTACTGCTGTGTACAAGACAATGTAATGGATTGTTTGTTACGCGACTTTGCAGATAATACCAAAACTACCAAAACAGGAAGGTGTGGCTAATGATATATCTTCTAAAACACATTAAAACATTTTGCTTTGCTGTATAATATATATTTGCTTTGTCGGTACTTCCAAAGCAGCAGCAGGGTCCACAACGCACACCAGGAAGAAACAACGCACTGGAGATGTGACAGATGTCCGTGCCTCTGCAGTGTCCAGCCCGATGCAGTCTCCAGAACCAGGTCCCAGGCCAACAGGAAAGTCCAATGGTTGGTTTAACTCATTCTCCTTATACCATTTGAGCAACAAGGCAGATTGCAGTAACCAGTTTCAACCCAGTCTATACATGTATATATCGAGATGGTCAAATAGCTAGCAGTCTATGAGACCATTGAAATAGCAAAACTATTAAAGGCTACAATTTAAATGTGGAATGTGAACATTGGATTATTCAATCCTTGCACACAAATGGCGTATTTTATGCAGTGAACAAAACTAGCAAAAGCCATCTGTTTATTAAAGCCACTTTGTGTTGTGTAATCTTGCCCGAGTTCTCAGTTGCAGTGTGCATTGATTTTTCTTTCAGGCACTGCTCCCAAATCTCGAAGGCCATGGAGCAAATCCGAAACTTCGGCTGTTTGGACAGGACTACACGAAATAATAAAGTGTCACAGAGTTCCTGGTAAAAGTGAGTGTGAAGCATGCATGGAAAAAATGCATCCTGCTCTCAATCAGCGGTCGTGGAGGGATGTTAAGTACAAGGTGAAAACTATTCTATGTGGCATCGAACGGGACAAAGAAAAGAACTGAAACATTCATAGAGTTGCATAGTATATCCTTGTTGCAGTTGAAAAATGTTAACTTTAACATTTATTCCACATTACAGCAAATGTCCCTATTTTATACATGTATCAAATAGGATCATTTCTGTCCATATTTTGCAGGTTGCACTTGATTGAAGTGCAAACACAGACTGTTATTGTCCATTTATGCATGGCATGAGGATGAAGGAACAAATTATGATGTTGGAATACCCAGTGAAAGTTTTTTTATATGGGTACATGTTTTTTTCTTATTTTTGTGTAAGCCATATCGTGTCAACAATTTTACTTTGCTTTGGTGTACCAATTAAAATGTTACGACTTTCATTTAGAAGATGAAGTGGACAACCAATAGATACTGCAGGTTTTAAGAGTTTAATATGGGCGTTTGTAAAACAAAGAAATTGAAGTTGATTTCCATAGTGAAAAGGTAATAATTGTAACATCTCGATGCATTTCTTGGTGGAACATTTACTGTAAGAAATGGCAAAATCTTTTCTTGATGGTGAAGTAATTTCTTACTGTGGCCATTTTCAAACATGGCAGTGCTGCAACAGGGCTGTTTCTAGGCCTAGTCGCTATGACTGTATCCAAATCTATAGCTTAAAGTAAACGTTACCTGCTGCCAATTTTATGTAGAATTTGGACCTTAGTCCAGTACACAGAGAATTGGACTCCATGCAGACACACTGGCAAGTAATGTGCAAAACAGAACCGATACCGACCCAACTCGAAACTGACGGGGTCGGGTCGTGTCGGTTTTCCATCATTTCAGTCGTGTCGTGTCGTTTTTTTTCATCATTTCAGTCGGGTCGTGTCAGTTTTTCCATCATTTCAGTCGGGTCGTGTCGGTTTTTCCATCATTTCAGTCGGGTCAGGTCGGTTTTTCCATCATTTCAGTCGGGTCAGGTCGGTTTTTCCATCATTTCAGTCGGGTCGTGTCAGTTTTTCCATCATTTCAGTCGAGTCGGGTCGGTTTTTCCATCATTTCAGTCAAGTCGGGACGTTTTTTTCATCATTTAAGTCGGGTCGGGTCGGTTTCGGTTCGGTTTTGCTTTGGGATTTTTGGTTTGGGTCGGGTCAGGTAAGCTATGTTGTGAAAAAAGAAGAAATAAACCGAAAATAACCGGAAAAAAAAAAAACGAGCGGGAAATTCACGTGGTGTATTTACTGTTTTTATAGCTTTAGATTAATACAGCCAAATTTACGTGTTGGTAATGGTATGATATGAAAAAAAGACTCCAGTGAAAATCTGACCCATTTTCCCTATTATTGGTTAAACCCTCTCACGTGCCGGTCACTCTCCTAATTATCCTGATCATCACTTAATTAAGCATGCGTAATACTACCAATGAGGCCGTATTTCATAGAGTCTTAAATTTATGCTACACCGGCACATCAAAAGAGAAAAAGAACAGTAGACTGGAAACGCGCACACACAAAAATACATTGTAATTCTTTACATACCATGGGATGGTAAGTTAAACAGGTGGCGGACGTTCCTTGATTGATCAATATTCATGCAATACTGGTATAATTTCAGGCACAAAATGGACACAATGTTCATGAAATTTAGGATGATTTGCCCAAGCTAGACATTCGCAGATTATATGCAACTTGGCCTCCAAACTATCCCTTTGTTTATCTTCTGGAACACAGTGGCCGTTTTCCAAACCCCAGCTTCGTCTCCGCTTTGGCTTCGTTCATGCAGTTTGGCAATAGTGATGGAGCCTAAGCTGGGGTTTGGAAAACGGACCAGATGTGTGCATTTTTAATAACTTGTAGTCTTGTTGCCTTTGACGCAGCTTGCTCAATCGAACATGCAAAATAAACCAATAGGTCTATATGGCATCTTTTTCTTTTAAATTGAATGATTTAATGTCATGCCATTTCCCAACAGTATGTGTTGTTATTGGATATTGACTGGTCAGACATTGTGGATGCTTTTAAGTCACGTATTGAACGATTCAGTTCTTTCCTGAACCAAAGGGATTCCTGAACGAGAAGTTGGGCAAAGCACCACAGCTGCATGCATCCATTCCTAGAACTTTACCAGAAATTTCAAAATTTTGTATTTTTATTTCATTTTTCACTGTTGTATTTATTAAAGAGTTTCTTGTACAAGGCCACAAAAATAGTTATGTTTCCGATTCATTATTACACGGTATTTGAAAATGTGTAGGTAGGTAGGTAGGGAATTTCTTTTGCACACAGCTTACGTGTAGTTGAGGTTTAAAGGTTAAAGGTAGTAGGGGCCTAATTTATGTTGTGGGTGGGTGGTTTTTTTTTGGGGGGGGAGGGTCCTTTTTTCCTGAAAAAAATAGCCCCGAGGCTGTTCGAATAGGGTTGGTCGGGTAAACCGGAAGCAAAACTTTTTTTTTGGCCGAGCATAAAGTTTCGTGTTTTTAAGGTTTTCACTGTTGCATTTATTAAAGATGTTCTTGTACAAGCATAGTTTTTGTACTTTAAAGGTTTTCAATGTTTCATTTATTAAAGAGTTTCTTGTACCATGGAGGAATTCCTCCATGCTTGTACAAGCATAGTTTTTGTACTTAAGGTTTTCAATGTTTCATTTATTAAAGAGTTTCTTGTTCAAGCACAGTTTTTGTACTTTTAAGGTTTTCAATGTTTCATTTATTAAAGAGTTTCTTGTACCATGGAGGAATTCCTCCATGCTTGTACAAGCATAGTTTTTGTACTTAAGGTTTTCAATGTTTCATTTATTAAAGAGTTTCTTGTTCAAGCACAGTTTTGTTGACTCGGAACTTTGTGGGGTATTTTGTGTTTTTGAAACACTGATAATCCTTGTGGGGAATAATTGAGGACCCCATATTCATGGCCCACAAGGAGCAATTGTACTTACATCGGTACCCCACAATCTGGTACCCCATATATGCCTTCGTGTAAGTATGGGTGGGTGTGTGTGTGTGTGTAAGAAGAGTTTCATATGTTTCCCTGTACTTAGATTTAAAGAGATTTTTTTTAGAATAGTTGTATGGTAGTTTACTCATTTCTAGAAATTATTTGATCAAGTGTTTAGGCCTTTACGGTTTTGTTCGCCTTGTTTTTATTATGCAAGACAGTTGTTGAGAACTCTTAGAATTTTTACAATAGCTTGTATAGGATAGCAATGTAGTTTATGTCAAATAAGTATTTCTGTTAAGAATAAGACAGATGGATAAATTAACTCTGTGTTCAGGAAACTTTGAGTTCACCGTTCAGGTCAGGACAAGGTTAAGAATTAAGCTCTACTGCTCTATGGCAACTTAACTCAGAAGGTTAAAAATTTAAGATTTATAGCTTGAACTCGGTGGGTAAAAAAAAAATTTTGGCTTGTGGTTCTGTGACAATTTTTGAACTCTGTGACCTGTCTATTGGTCAAATCGGGTGCAGTGTATTTTTGCAGTATATCACTCTTAGGCCAAAAAAAAAAGTCTCCGGTTTCTGGTATGGAGCTTGTCCAAAAAGTGGTGCGGCGACGCGGCTTTTTTTTTTTTTTTACCTGATTTTTTTGCTTCAAATGTCGGCTGATGACTGCAAATGGTGCCCGACTAAACTTAGTGCAAATATTATGGGACGTTAAAATTGTGCAGCAACAGGATCCGTCAAACCAGTGAGTGTGGCGGTTTTGAGACATCATCTTTCATTGAAAAAAAAAAATTTCATTTTGCTGACGCGCATGGCTACGGCGACGCGCGCGCATACCAGAAACCGGAGACTTTTTTTTGTTGGCTTTAGTCTCAATTACTGTAGCCAATCTCTAGTTCAGGGTTGACAGGTGTTTCACATTAACTTTATTGGTGCTTAACTTTATTAGTTGTGTGTAGAACAAAACTTACTATCCGTTTATTTACATTATTATGTTTTACTGTATTGTCACACATTTTGTTGATATGATGCTTAATTGGAATATTCTTGTTTTCTTTTCTTTTTGTTTAAGCTTGAGTGTTTTTGATTTATGACTTTCTTTGAACACTGTTGTTGGTTTTTTTGGTTACTTTGTTCTAGATTCTTTTTCTTTTTGACATTGCTACTTATATTTGGTTGTTGTTTTAAACTGTAAAGGATTGGATTTTTTCAGGTCTAGGTCACAGTGGGTCTGGCTTTCAAAAGTGGTGTACCTCAAATTTAACTTTTTTAACTTGAACAAGGAGTTTTGATTATTAGATTATATTTCCATCTGTTTTCATGAAGGTCTTCAATATACAATTTAATATTTTGATTCCTTTTGTTCCCTACATTGTTGCTTTGTAGAAATTGCCTCTTTAGATAATTCTTTCATGAAATAAATTTTTCTTTGGGTTTTTTTTTGTTGAAGTGGAAATCTAAACACTGCCTTGGTTGTCTCTATTCTTAGGATTATCTCGCGATTCCTCCCTAAAAGATTCCTGTTTACTTTTTCTTGTTGATCCGAAGAGAAGCGAGTCCCCACGGTTCAGATTTTTCTAGGTATTTCTTTATTTTTGATCTTGTGCCATTTTTCCGGGTTACACTTACACTCGCAAGGCATGATGGGAAACAACATGGCACTGCAAGATCGTACCCATGGGGCAAGAGGTTGGCAGCAGCCCAGACTTGGTCAATCTGCCAAGCGTACGCGCTGGTTTGTTCCACGTTTGTACACAGTCTATGGAAATTAATTCTCGATGTGATTGGCTTCTATCGATTTCGGTAGAAGCCAATCATTTCACAGTATTTCAGGTAATGAGCGTTTTTATTCTTAAAAACGCGCGCAGATTGTTTTGATAATATTCCTAACACGCAATCAGCGTTGTCTGCGTATTCGCGCATCCAAAGTTTCGCGGAGAACGCACACGCATCCCATGGTGAGGAGCAGATTAAGAACCCCGCAAAATCGTTTTCAGCACAAAACACTAATTAAGTACAAAAACGTCCATCAAAATGGAGACATTTCCCACAGAACCGCTGCACAGTTTGCCCCCAAACTCCGTACTACACCTCATGACATACTCACGTAATATGCGCAGAGCAAACATCGCTGGATTTTGTGGGTTTTTTTGCCAAAATGATGAAAAATATGCCCTTTCCGCACTGAGCCAACCTGACACTAGAAACGTGCACGCATATGATCCAGCGATGATTTTCGGTTTGCGCCGCGGGGGGTACGGTACAAGCGAAATGATAGTATGCGCATGCGTACAAGTGCAACTAGCGCCTTGACCAAGGCTATGTATTATACAGCATGTTTGCGTTGATATGCCTATCTATGGGTATTACAAGTAATACCCATAGTTCTAGGGGTAATACGCGTGTTGTATAATGTACATACAGTGTGTGCGCATTGTTATACGGCACTGAAGTGGAACGCACGCTGAAGTGTACCTTGTTGGGCATCTGGAAAGGCGTAAACTAAGTGATTTTCGCTACTTTTTTTTTTTTTAAGATACCGACTTAAAGCAATTCTGACTTGACTCTCTAGGCAACGCACTGTCTGGGACGCCCGACACTCATGCAAAGACACTATGGCTTTGTGCACATTCAGAATATAATAAGTAGTGTGTACTTTGCGATAAACGCGCACGAACTACATATACCGGTCATAGATATCTATGGTACCGGTGTAGCATGAATTTAGGTTTTACGAAATACGGACTCTTTGGTGGTATTGCGCATGCTCATGCATAGATAGGAGAGGGACCGGTCACGTGAGAGGGTTTAACTAATAAAAGGGAAAGAGTCCGATTTTCATAGAGTCTGATTTTCATGTGACACCGGTACGGTAGTACGCACACGCGGCATGTCCCGCCCACGGGGGTTATCGAAAGTGGTAATGAAAAAACGCCCTCTTAC